CAAATACAAAGTTTTAAACCTGAGATCTAAGACACAAGTCCATCAAGAGTAATAGCTTTTTAGTTATAATCTTTTCATATTAAAAACAGCGTGTTGACTTTAAATAATTTGTAATGATAATAATTGCTATTATTATTATATGATAAAGAGGGAAAATTGGTGGAAGAATAGGAGAGAGAAAAACAAACATAAAGGGACATACAAACATGGCAATTTACAATCCTGAAGATACATAATTGCTACTATGCCGAATGTCAACATTTCAGATTCATTTTCTTCTCAAAGATGTGTAATGGATTAAAAGCCTTTTGACCCCATAGCCACGCCACTGCATTTCCTTTATTTAGGGAAACTAGAACTCCAGGTCTGGACCGGCTTAAACAGCAGCCCTCCCTCCTTTACATTAAATTTCTGTGTCAAGTTCACAAATGCACAGTGAGACACTTTTCCTGCATAGAGAAGGGTTTAAGAAGTGACAGTATGTCTCTGCAGGTGACCAGGAATAAGATATGCAAGTGTAATTCATTCATTTTAAACACTAACAGCATCTCACTCAGAAACATCATCTATGGGAAAGAAGGGAGGCTTAGACACACTAACAAGGCTTTGTTAGAGTAGACATATCCAAAGTTTAATTATGGAGAAAGATTGATGCATGCAGCTCCATACGTGTGAACTCTAGTTACTTTATATAGCAGTTGCTTTCAAATCATAGCTCAGTGACAACAGGCATATTGGAAACCCTGAGATTAATGATGACTTTATTCAGCTTATAGCTTGGGGCAGAACCGGCTACAAAGCCAAGACCCCCGGGATTACTGATCCTGTCAATGCAGGCCCCATTTCCCCAAAAGCATAAGGACGAATTTCTTTAGTCTTTTCAGGGATCTCTGTGCTTTTCCTGCCCTGTCTTTTTAACACAAAGTGGTGATAAATCTGTGTCTTCTTTCCTTGAAATTAAGCTGGTTATGTAGAAAATAGTTGGGTCCTGGAAAAATAATAAATATGACAATGATAATAATTTGCTAATCGTTTTACACATTTTTATCTCCTTTATTCTTTGAAGGAGCTCAGTGAAGCCAACACATCCCTTTCCCCATCTTACAAGGAGAAAAAAGAAGCTTGGAGAGTTAAGTAACTTCTCAAGAATATACAGCTAGGAAATTTGATTCAAAGCCAGTTTTTCTGATTTCAGATTCCAGGCTCTTAACCACTACCTTCTACCATTCTATTTCATAAGCCCCCAACTGACACTTTCAGTCAGTGGCCATCTCTGTGGCCTACCGGCAATCAGAGCTGAATCCTGCTGCCTTTAAGAAAGCATTTGGAGACCGACGGATGTGTATTTGAGTTTCAGCACTGCTATTTCATAACCGTGTGATATTTTACAAGTTAATTAACCTCTTTGATCCTCAGTTTCCCTATCTGAAAAATAACAATAAGACCAAATATCTGAAAGGGTTAACTGAGATAGTTCAATGAGTTAGTGCATAGCAGCGCCTGGCACGGAGTAAGAGCTCATTAAAGTGGATAGAATAATCCAGGCTCTGCCCAGTGCCGCCCTTTTCATGAAGTTTTCATGTTTCCTCGGCCCACTATGAGCTGCTCTCACAGCATTTACCATATCTCAACGAGCTATGGGGAAAAGAGGCAGCACAAGGAAACAGAACAGTTGTAGTGAAATTAGAGTCTGAGAATCATGAGATTGCCAGGCGCCCATCACGACTGGAAAAGTCTTGTCTTTAGAAAGTTCTTCTCCACCAGAAGGGTGTATGGGATCATAGCTATAAAGTTGCTTACCTTAAGGTGTCCTTAAACTGATTCTATTGGTAACTTCCTATGATGCCTTTTTCTCTTCTGAACGTGCATCTAATTTTTCCACCCTTTTCTTTTCCTTCATGGGACTCAGTTCACAGTGCTTCCCAGATTAAAAATATATGAAGTCAGACACACAATATTATATTTTTAGAAAGGATTATAATTTAAAATATACAATGTATCTGTTGTATCTGTTGCTTTGCACATTTTTGCTGCCAGAAATTTCAAAGAGCCAGTACCCATTGTTTATAATGGGAGAGAAGAATGTTCAAACCAGTAATAATGTCTAAAAATAGGGCATGATTCCATCCATATCTCCATTGTGTCAAAGTTGCCACTTCCTTTTTTGTCTGTTCAGGGCTGTATTCTCTGTCATGTGGACCTTTTGAGCAGCCTGACCCTTCCACCAGTCCCATGTTCCATGACGCTGACACCCACCTCCCTAAAATGCCAACATGAGGCAATATAGCCCAGAGGATAAGAACTTGGGTGTCAGTCTCAAACTGCCTGGATCTGAATGTCAGCTTTACCACCTATCTATTTGATCAATTTAGGCAAGTTACTTAATCTTTCTGGTAATCACTTTTTTCCCTAAATTTGGGGGAAGATTAAATGAGAGCAGTATGTTATGTACTTAGTCTAATGACAGGTACATAGTAAGCAGTTAGTCACTATCAGCTGATTATTATTAGTGCATATACTTAGGTGCTGCTCTGCTTCCTCATCTCTGCATAATCAAGTCCAAACTTTGAAATATGACCCCAGTTTGTCTTCTCCCAGGTCACAACGTACTTCACTAAACACAGCAGGCAAATGTGTGGCTCCAGGTTTTTGCTCAAGCATTTTCCTCTGCCATTCCCTATCTCCATTGGGAAAAGCCCCTTCTCCATTCAAGAAGACTATACAACTATGAAGCTTTTCCAGAGCTCCTTTTTCCTCTGTGTTTTAACAGCATTTTAGCAATTTGAGAGCAGTTGGCCAAAAAAAGTCATATTTTGTAAATAAACAGAACTTCCTGGTGAACTAACTGGATAAGAGAAACAAGGAATGAAGTAGAAGAAAGGATGACTTCTAAGCTTGTATCTGGAACAACTGGGCATGTGGTGGTGCCATTTAATAATAGAGGAAAACATGGGGAAGTTAAGGTTTCGGGGACTAGTAGTAAAGATATCTGCATTAGTTATGTTAGGTTTGAGTTGCCAATCAGATATTCAAGTGGATTTCCTAAGTAAGCAGTTGAATGTACATAAAAGTCTGAGGCTTGGAGACTGGTCATGGCTATGGATCTAAAACTGAGAGTTATAACTATGTAAGTGAGGCCAGTGGAGGTCACCAGAGAGGCCAAGGGAACAGCAGCATTTGGAGATCAATTAAAGGAAGAGAAACCTGTTCCACACCGATAAGTGAAGTTGCTTGCCCAGTGCCTACTTGAGGTTAAGTACTGTCCTATTTACCTTTATGTCTAGAAGTGTTGGTGGCACAAATGTTCAAAAAACGCTTGCTGAATTCACTTCTGTACTAAAAGCAAAGAAAGGCGGCCTCTCAGAGGTCTCCCAGCCCTGCAATTTAATGATTTGGCAAGTTTGCAAAGAAGCATGAAGGACAACTTCAGCACCTAGCACAGGGTGGGATGTGGTGGACCGTAGAAGGGCTCGCCCTCCCTGTCCCCCGGCCTCTCCCTGTCTCCGTGCTCCCAGGGACACTCCAAAGAGCACAGTCCCAGTGCTCATGAGGGGATGGCGCAAAGCCCAGGATCCCAGCATGGTCCTCGAGGCTAAAGGGTCTTAAGAGAGCAGCAGCTGCTAGAACATACGGGTGACCAGCAGGAGTTCCCTTCAGCCCTGGCCCGAAACTCCTCAGTGTACACAATACCCGGTTTTCTGAAAGGCTGCATGGGAAACTTTCTCTCAGATCTTGTCATGTTTTTTCCATTGACTTCAGTGGTTTAATATTCATATTTTTCTGATTTCTTTGTTCTTATGAAGGGGTCAGGGATTTGTAAATCAAAACACATGTGCCCTCCCCTTCTCTCCTCTGGCCAATGTTCTGGTTAGACTTTTTATCATCCTTTGCCCGGACAAAAGTAGCTTCGATAGCTTCCTATCTGGTCTCCTTGCCTCCATTCTCCCCCACCCCCACCCCCACCCCCGCTCTGCCACCAGAATAACCATGCCAAAGCACTGCTCTGGCAGGGCACCCCCCTGCCAAGCACGTCGACAGCTTCACCAAAATTCTAAGCTTGGAATTCTAGGTGTCCCCACCATCTGTCCTTTCCAGGAAACTTTTCCAGTGTGATTAGTTTCCTTCAATCTTATCCAGGGTTGTAATTAATCGGGCCCCATTTTTCCGCGCAAAATCGTCACCGTGATTTCTCTCTGTTGTGTCTCAGCACCTGCCATTTTCCTCATCCAGGGCGCTTCGCCTGTTTCTCCATCTGTTGTTACCTAGCCCACTCCTCAAGGTCCAGGCCAATGGCATCTTCTTCGGGGAGTCTTCCTTACTCACCCCAGGCAGCAGGAGAGGTCCCTGCCTATACCTCTGAAGCATTAGTGTGTATTTCTTTAAAAACTCTTATCTAATAAGATGATGGGTGATGATGTTGACTAATGGATAAATGGATAGATTTTTTTTTTGCTTTGATACTCTGACTTATTTTTTTAATTCAACATACTGTACCTAGCACAGCCCATGGAAGGAACTCTAACAACATTGACTAAATTGAATGAATTTGTGAGTGATTCAATTAATCCAGTAATCCATTAATAATAGTCAATCCCCACTTCTCACAGTTTAGCCATTGCATGATCCCCTGTCTTCGTATATTGAGTTTTCTTAAAGTTGAGGCTCTCTGCTTTATTAGCTCACCACGTAGGGGACATCCTTCAACAGCTGTGCTCCTCCTTACGGCCAGAGCATCAGTGAGCGACATGGAGGGGAGACAGGTAGAAGAGTGGGAGGGTTCAGGCATATGTGGAAGATAGAGGCTTATAGGGAAGGATGCTGAGCAGGGCACTGTCCTGGTCAGACTGACCTTTGAGAAAGAGCACTCTTAAGTTTCTCTGCAGGGTGGACAGGAGACACTGGGATGCAGGAGAGCTGCGGGAGGAGGCCGAGAGGGGACTGACCAGCACTTCGCCCAGGTCTTTGTCGAAACAGTAACCGCTGCCTCTTTCTCCTCTCAGGGCTTCCAGGGCAGCGGTTGAGGAGGCCTTACCAAGGAGCACCACGCAGTAGATGCGGAGACGTCGCCCTCCAGGATAAGAAACAGTAACATGGCAGCACCTGTCTAAAAGGAATTAAAAACCAACAGACTTCCGTTTAGAAAGGAACAATGTCCAAGAAAGGGCGAAATAAGGGCGAGAAGCCCGAGGCACTCATTGTCGCCCTTCAAGCTGCCAATGAAGACCTCAGGACCAAGCTCACGGACATTCAGATAGAGCTGCACCAGGAGAAGTCCAAGGTGAGCCAGGGCTACCTGCGGCCGGGCCCTGAGAGCAGCCCCGGCTGTGTCCGCAGGTGGCGAGCGCAGCTCTGCCTGCTGACCCACCCCAGGGGACTCCTGCCCTTTGCCAGAGAGGGCAACAGCCGCGTGCACAAGGAGGTTCTCTTGCATGTGGCAGGTGGAACTGAGCACGCAGGAGTGAGAACAGCATGCTCACTGGACGGGACCCTGCCTCCTGCCTGGTTCAGGAAGCCAGATAAAAAAATTGAGACAATGTCCCTCCCCCCACCCCCGCCCCTATCTCCCAACACTTAGTAGTTGTGAGACCTGGGACAAGTTTCACCCTTGCCCTCTATAGCTTATTCCTCGTGGAGCATGCAAAGCAGTCCTTCTAACATGTATCACATCATGTCACTTCACTGCGCAGTACCCTCCAATGGCTTCCTACCTCTGGGGAAGTCAAAGGACTTTCCCTACGACTACAGGATATCACTTGCAGCCCCTCTTTGACTCATCTCTCACTTTTCTTTCTCTCTCTCTCTCTGCCTGCTCCAGCCCCTTTGCTGGATCAAGAGAGAGATGCTGGTCACACTTAGGGCCTCTGCCCTTGTTCTCCCGCCAGTTACCTATGTGACCCTTCCCTCTCCTCCTCTAGGTGCCTACTCGAGCACCACTCATCTGAAACAGAACACTTCCCCATGCCCAGTTACTCCACATGGCCTGTTCTTGACTTATTTCATAGCAATATGTATGTTTATGCATTTACCTGTTTAGCCCTACTTCTCCCCAATCGAGTGTAATTTCTGTGATAGCAGGGACTTAGCTTACTGCATATCTCTAGAGCCTAAACAATGCCCAGAAGTTGAAATCTCAGCATGTGCTTGTTGAATGAATAGAGGAATAATTGAAAGAAGCTTCATTCCTTCTACCTTCATTTCTTCAGTAAAATATCACTGCTATCTCACAGGGCTGTGACGAAGAATAAATTAGACAAATACGTAAAGTACTTATGAGGATTAAATGAGAAAATTTATGTCAAGTGCTCAGAGAGCTGCCTGGCACATAGTAAATTCTCAAAAAGTTATTTGCATTAGTATTTTTTCTGATACTCTCTGTATTTGAGTCAGTTGCTAATGGACTTAGAAAAGTGTCTTTACTTCTCTAAATCTCATCGCTTGCTTGTATATACTAACACATACCTCACCAGGACAATGGGAATATCAAATAGGGTTATGGCTAGGAAAACATTTTGAAATATCCAACCTACAGAACACCATAAGACGTTTTTGCTCCTTGCAAACCAGAGACAACCATGGCATCATGAAGTTGCCTTCTTTAGATAACTTTTTATACAGTAAGAAAACATTCTTGATCAACAAGCAATAGGTCACAAACCAACAAATATCCATATCCCATTTTATCTATCTCTTCTTCCTTAACATCACTATTACATTTTAATTTGTTATTTCTCCCCAAATCTATTTTTCCTAGTTTCAACAATAATAAATAGGCTTTAGATCTGCCAAAGCCTGTGGCCGCCTGCCTTAGATAAGCCTTCACTTTAAATGAAGAGATGACAATGTAAAATTTGCAAAAGAAATTTTTTAGTTTCCATGAAACCAAAGGGAACATGACAGCACTAAAAAAAAAACAAGAACAAAAACAAAAAAAAACATTTGTTTGAGAGTCAGAAGACCTGGGCATCATTTGTCTTTATCTCTCCTTGGAGACAAATGTTAAGTGTCTCAATTTCTCTATCTGTAATTTAGATGACTGAATCTCTTTCTCTGTATCTGTGTCTTTCATGCACCGCTGCGCAAGAGAATAACCTGGGGGAACTTATTAAAAATTGAGATTTCCGAGCCCGAGGATTCTGATAGAATAGGCAGGTGAGGCCCAGGACTTGTAATTCTGAAGCAGTCCAGGTGGTGCTCGCTCAGCCTTGGTGTTGATGAACACTCCACTGTGAGTTTCCTTCCAGGTCAGACGATCTAGGAACCTTGCATCGGTTTTCACTTTCCCTGGGGCAACGCACCATGTCAAGGGAAGCAGAGCTGCTTTCGCTGGAGTAAGGGCAGGGTGACAAACTACATTTACAGGTAGCAGCTTGTCAGTCTGGAGACAGGGGGCCATAAATTGCCGCTGCTTTACAGAAAACAAACTCACGAGTTTCCAAAGAAGCAGAGGCCCTGAGGACTTCACCACTGCCAATTTTTCGCACACTCAGACCTTTTCAAAATGGGCAACTCTGGAGCTGGAACGAGGCTGCCTGTTTCTCCAGGGCCTGGCACCGGTGTCTCAGCCGGGAGGCCAAGCGCACTCTCCCCTTCCTCTGACGAGAGCCAGGCGGCAGCCTCTTGAATCAGGGCACCCGGCCTTCCCTCCCCTCTGCTGGCTGCCCCTGCCTGGCTCACTCTCCTGGGCAGTTAATCACAGTCCCTGCACAGGAGCTGAAGCAAGGTCTCCCTGCCTCTCAGCAGCCTTCCCTAAAGAGCACAGGGAATTCGGAGGGCAAACAAGTCATAAAGCAGTTTTATTATAAATAAATATGATTGTGTTTTCAAAGGGCCAGGCTGTAAAAGAGAGCATACCAACAATGCCAAGACGTGAATTTACACTCCCGGTTTAGCTCCGAGGCTCTGAGGACAAGAACGACAATCCAGCTACAGGGGAATGGGCGCGTTAAAGAGTGGAAACCTTTGGGGGGATGGAGCATTACTCATTTTTCCAGCAAGACAAATAATCCCATTGACATTTACAGAACATCCATTGTGTATAGGGCAGAGTCGTAAGTGGTTTGGGGGAAGGGAGACAATATAAATAGCTACAATTATTGAATGTTTACTCTCTGTCACGCTCTGCAATAAGCGCATTGCCTCCTGCCAGAATCCCAGCTCTTCACGTAGCAGCTGAGTGATCCTGAGCAGGTTACAGAATCCCTCTGTGATTTTCTTTCCTCATCTGTCAAATGGGACGATCATGGTATCGACCTCACAAGGCTGTATTGTGTGTGTGTTAATTTTTGAGCAATGATTGGTGCCAGGCGTGGAAAGCCGTTATCTCAGTGCATCCTCGTCACCCGCCTCGGAGGTGGGCGTGGCTGTTATCCCCGTTTTCCAGATGAGGAAACTGCCTGGCATGTGGCAGATCTCAGAACTACGTGTGGAATCAATTTACATGATTCTTTGATAGGCTTTCCCAAGACCCTGTGGCATGAGTATTGTTATAGCATGCATTTAGGTGGGAAACCCCAGGCTTGGGTGGAGAAGACATTTGCACCCAGGTCTGTCTTTTCCTTGGACCAGCATCTGGGCCATTATACAGTGATGTTTGCCTCTGTCTCTTCTGTGGACACCATGAGGTCATGATCTATTACTTAGTATGTCTGGGACTGCCCTAGGGCTTTCTTCTCTCTCAGAGATAGACTACAGTTGCATGAGGAGCATGAGCACAGTGACAGAGCAGGTGAGGGGACAGGAGCAGAAAACAGGGTTCCCAGGGTAGAGGCAGCAGGGCAGCAGGCCTGGGAGGACTCTGCTCCAGACAGGAGCTGCCACCATTGCAACAGCCCCTGAGACTGCAAAGCACTTCCACACGGAGCCTCACAAGCATTACAGCAAGCCTGTGACAAAGGCCCAATTACTCTCCTGATTTCACTAGGAAAGAAAGTGAGGTTCAAACTATTTAACCCATTTGCTCCCAGAAGACACAGCGAGTGGAGGAGCCCCAGTGGGAATTCCCATCTTCTGTAAGAAGGTGGCGATCAAGGTGTGATGCCAAACGTCTCATTCCACCCCACTCTTTTGCCTCCAGGGCACTCACAGAAAATCAGCCAACCTTTTCTATCCTCAATGACTGTTCCCAGAGCCTCCAGGTTCAGGGACCAAATTTCAGATGGGGTATTTCTCCCTATTTGCACCTTTAGTTCTGTTTTTAGGAAGCATAAGTGGCTGAAACCAAGAAATTAAAAAAAAAAAAAGAATCCTTTGCACTTCCCCAGGTTGTGTAAGGCTTCTCTTATAAGCCCCTTCCTATCGTGGCTCCTTCACGTCTCCTGTTTGAGAGTCACTCTGTGCCCGGGAACATCCCTGCCCGCTTACTGTGAGTTTAGATCCCCAGGAACAGCCAACGCAGATAATCCAAGCGGCAGTTTATGTTAGCTTGTCTTGCCTCAATCACCTTGCAACTCCTTCCTTACCTTTGACTGAGCTGTCCAATTTTTAATCCTAGATTCCTAAGATCACCTTAAAGCTCAAATCACCACCATCTTTATCTTGGCAGCACTTACACTGACATTTTCCAAAGGCCAGACTAGAACTAGAGAAGAAGAGAAAAATAAAATGTGAGGTCATATAAGGTAGCCATGCATCCTCTTTTCTCTGTCAGAGTGCAACCTTTTGTTAGTAGGATTAAACTTTCCTGATGACCATTTTTTTCCATAGGAGCTCCAAGGTAGAAGGGATTTGGAAGCCCCCTTTAGAGATCTCCTCTTTGCCCTGAGGCCACGCCCCCACTCCCAACCCCAACCCCACCCCCACACTCCTTAGGCCTACACCTTCCTTAGTGTCTTCCAAGTCAACGTTAGATGCCACCAACACCAGGGAACTCAACACATACGGAGGAAACCCAGGGTTGAACATCTCTTTCTGTTAGGAAAATAGTTATTATCTTAATAAATGTAATATGGTAACATTAGTCTTATCACAATAATATAGGTACTTATATTTATGTTGTTGGTGGTGTTAATGTAACATCATATTATGTGATATTCACATACTGGCAGTATTCATCAATATTAACATTATACTGTCTAGCATGTAATAGAGATTAATAGTTATTAATCTCCCATGTATTCCAGCCTTTCCAAAGGACTTTTATTGGCTAAGTCAGTCCTCACACAATTATATGAGAATGGTGTCTAATCATAGTTTCCAAAGGAGAAAATTGAGGCTGACAGAGGTGAACATCTCGCCCCAAATCTTCAGAGCAAACAAGGCAATCTAGGATCTGACCCGGATCTGGGTCCTGGCCCCCACTGGACTTCAGGCAGCCTTTTTACTTTGCCCTTCTGCGGAAACTGTCCCTCACTTCTCTCACCTCAAATTGTGATAAAACAAAGACTTCCTACATCATAGAACTGTCCAGGAGGTTAAATGCACTGATAAGTGTAAAGCCTATGTAGGAAGATGTCTAACTCACAGTAAGCCCTCGATAATTGTAGCTATTATATGACTAAGCTGAAATTTTTTTCCAAAAATGTCTCCACTAATCAAAATTGATTTATTTCTTTGACTAAATAATTTTCCCCATTTCAAACTATTATCATCTTCCTATTTTAATGGTCACTCAGGAATACTTCTTCATCTTTTTGTATATCCATTTTAAGATTTATACTAAGATATTTAAATCTATTTCCTTATATAGTACAATCTGCCTTGCAAATAATTTTCAGAAAATGATTTTACTACAAAATTTTTATTAGCTCTTTTTCTCCCAAAATTTGAGTCGTATTCTTTGGCTCTCCTTCAGAGTGCTCTTTCAAGCTTAGAAAAAAAAAAGTTAGACCTAGAAATTCTGCAAAAATGTCAGTTTCCATGACAACAACCAAAATAAGTGGACAAATGTTACTCAATTCCTTTGAATTTTCTTTGGCTTATGGATTCTTTTAAGTGATGGACAAGAAGGCTAGTGTTTGTTTATATTTGTTTTTGTCTCCAAATTAGAATATTTTCCATACACTTGTATTTTTGTTTTATTTTTCATTTCCTTCATCTCCCTTTCGGTCTACACACAAAAGCTTAGAGTTTATAATTTTGGAAAAATGATAAAATCACAGGGAGATACAGTCTAATGTACCCACAGAGATTTGACATAAATAATTTTAGATCAGTGAGTAGCTCCTATTATATCCAGTAATAATATTACCTTACACTTCATAGTACTTTCCAGTTCAAGGTACTTTCCCGTATGTTACCTAATTTAACCCTTGAAATAACCCTATTACGGGTATTTTTAGGCGTTATCAAAAATCCTCAGAAGGTTGAAGCAACTTTGTTAGAGATGGCAGATGTTGAGATAGAAATGCAAACCCAGAATTTCTAATCCTTTATCCATTTTTCCTACAGTTTTTCATTGTTCTAGGAAGAATTGCTAAAATTTCCTTAGTATCTTGTTACCTGACAGCTCTTGCCGTCACAAGACTGCTCCAAATAAATGCCTAATGTAAATCCATCTTGCTGAAAATGAAGATGACTAAGTTCCTATTACTTGAGCTAAAGTAACTTTCCCAAGCTCTTATATGGAAAATAAATTATCGGAGTTTCTAAATCAATGAAAAATGAGGCCCTTCCTCTAAAAAAAATACATGGTCTAGAACAGGAATCAGCAAACATTTTGTGTGAAAAGCAAAATAGTAAATATTTTAGGCTTTGTTAGCCAGAAATTCTTTATGAAACTACTCAACTCCATTGTAGCATGAAGGTGCCTTAAGGAATATGTAAATGAATGGGCATGGCTGTGTTCCAATAAAACTTTATTCACAAAAACAGGAGCAGGATAGATTTGGCCCATGGGCTATAGTTTGCCCACCCCTGGTCTTTAGAAGATAGTCACTTCCGTTCATTTTAGAAGGATGGATAGTAAGATCTAGATTGTCCTTACTGAAGCACTGAGAGAAATATCAACCAGAGGAGAAGTGGACATTCTTATATGTTAGGGTTTTTTTTCTGTTTTTTTTATAGGGGCTGCTCTGGTAACCTTACAAACCTATGTTTTCTAACCTGTAATATTGTATTATATTATTCTTGCTTCTCATTAGGGGGCTAGCCAGGGAAATTCCACACATGCCTTCTGGCTTCTTATTATGTGTTGTGCTGGGAGCCACTGGGTATACAGAGATGAGGAAGGCTCATTGGCCGCCTTCTAGGAGTTTCCAATCAGGCTAGGGGTAGAAGGGGAGGTGGGGAGGGCAGAGAAGTGTACAAAAAAAAATAGCATAAAGAAAAATATGAAAAAGACCAGCAAGGAGGTGTTAGCAGAGTGCACTGAGAAGACAACGGCAGGAGAAATGAGCTTTGTCCTGGGCAGGTAGGGCGGCCTGACAGGAGAAGATGACACCTAGCTGGGCCATGAGGAATGTGAGGATCCCAAAAGGAGCTGAGGGAAGGGCAGGTCAGGAAGAGGAAATAGCAGACAGGTAGGTACAGAGACACAAGGCCCTGTGCAGAAAACAGCACCATCTCCTCTGCTTGGAGAGGGGACAGGTGAGGAGAGGGAGAGGGGGAAATGGGAGCTAGAAGTCCCACCAGACCTTCATGAGAGCCTGAAAGGCAAAGCTGAGGTGTCGGGATTTTATTCCACAGCATAAAGGAGCCTGAGTAGTCTTTGAGTAGGCACAAAAGTAAGATCAGAAATGGGCTTTACTAAGAGAACAAACATACCCAGCAGTGTGGGGAAAGCTAGGTTCACTAAATGAACCTCTGAGGACTCCCGAGCAACACTGTTCAAGAGAAATACAATGTGAGCCACAAATGCAAGCCGTATATGCAAGCCATATATGCGACTTTAGCATTTCTTGTTAGCTCTAATTTTAAAAAGCAAAAAGAAACATAATTAGTTTTAATAATATAGTTTTATATATCCAAAATATAATAGTTCCAATATGTAATCAATATAAAAATGATTAATGAGAGATCTTATGTTTTTTACCTCACACTAAGTCTTCAAAATCCAGAGTGTATTTTACAACTAGAGCAAATCTTAACTCAAATTTGAAATATTCCAGGTGCTCAATGTGACTAGTGGCCGCCACCTTGGACAGCGCAGTTCTAGAGCCTATGAGGGGACAGGCCTCCGGGAAGGCACCTTTGGTGTCAGGTGGAGTTGAGATCAGAGGGTGGGTGGTTGAGGATGCCTGGCTGCTTATTTTGCCAAGTCCCCTTGAGCTTTTTCAGAATAATCAGAACAAGAATAACGGGAATAATTTGAAAAATAAAAAAAACAAAAAATGCATAAAAGACTTAGAAAACACAGAAAAAACTGAACGAACGAAAGCTAGGAAAACAAGTAAAATAACAAAAACCTCAAGCAATAAACACAATAATTACAATGGTTTCCTTTCTTTTTTCCCACCCTACATGAACTTTAATGATACAATGGTTTCAATAGGTAGCTTCAATCTTAAAATTTTTTAGCTGGAAAGTCTCTTATTATTTTGTGAAAATAATTTTACAAATGGCAGACACTCAGTTTCACTCAACTAGATATTACTCCCGGGGCTCCCCCAGCTTTCTTCCTTTTTCCAGATTATTCTGTGGGGGGGGGAAGGGGAAGGTTGGAAGGGAAAAAAAAAAAAGAAAAAAAAAAAAAAAACCAAGCAACAAAAAAGAAGGGGGGAAAAAGAAAACCGGAATAACGAAAAGCCTCCTCAAACCCCAACCCGAACCCACGAAACAAAAAACGGCCCCCAACCAAAACAAAGGGGAACCAAGGCCAAACCAAAAAGAAAACCAAGATAACCCCGGAAAAGGAAAAAAAAAAAAAAAAATTTTTTTTTTAAAACCAGAATTCCTGAAAGGCAAAAAGATTACAAGGAATACTTTATTAGACTCCTTGGAGCGTTGGCCTTGGGGGCAGGAAAGGAGAGGGATAAGAGTGAGAGAGGGAAGGACGCAAGGAGACGTCCATGGAGCATGCAGGAGTAACAAGCACCAGGAAAGTCCTGTGTCGGAGAGAGGACCCAGTGACTGCAGCGCTGTCGTGTCATTGTCGTTTGTTTTGGCCAGTGTGTCCTGTCTCTGCGCGTGGTGTGTAAAGCGTGGGGCTGACACCGAGTTGCCATACTAAGAAAGGCGTGGTTGAGGCTGTTATCAGCTGTCTTCATTCTCTACCACCCCACCTTAACCCTTAGCAGTAGCAGCAGCATCTTCTTTTCCAAAAAAAAAAAGAGAGAGAGAAGAAGAAGAAGAAAGAATAGGAGGGAGGGGTATATTTTATATCATTTTAGGCACTAATTTATTACCCTGATCACAATATCAAACTGTGAGCTATCCCGAGACACCCACGTGTGTCAGTTTGGATCTAGCTAGCATTGTGTAATCTGAAAAGCTTTCCAAGTGATCTGTATTGTGCTCTTTCCCACCACTGGGAAAACTATTATAGCAATCCTTTTTAATTTTAATGTGTATACCGGTTGCCCGGGGATTTACTGAAATGCACATTGTGATGCATAGGTGTGGGAGGGAGCCCCGGATTCCCCATTTCCAGCACGCTTCTGGGTGACGCTGTGCTGCCCGTCTGCAGACCACACAGCTCGTGTAGTAAGGCCTCGGAACATGCAATATTTGTCAGAACAAAGCGACAGCACCATCCTTAGATCTTTCCTCCTTTTTACGCACTGCATTCGTAGCTTTCAGGCCCATGGTTCTTTTCCCTCAGAGGGCCTGGAATTTGAAAGGAGAGGAGGGATTAAGAGATCACAAGGGCCTGAGCCGCAGATCCTGCCTGGGATCACCCCTTTCCTTTGAGGCTCATTTCTCTTCATCCTCTCGTCTCTCCGCCTTTAGGTATCGAAGCTCGAGAGAGAGAAGACTCAAGAAGTGAAGAGGATCCGGGAGCTGGAGCAGCGCAAGCACACAGTCCTGGTGACGGAGCTCAAATCCAAGCTCCACGAGGAGAAGATGAAGGAGCTGCAGGCCGTGAGGGAGAATCTCATCAAGCAGCACGAGCAAGAGATGTCGAGGACAGTGAAGGTGCGGGACGGAGAGATCCAGAGGCTCAAGTCGGCTCTCTGTGCTCTGCGGGACGGCAGCAGCGACAAAGTAAGGACAGCGCTCACCATCGAGGCCCGGGAGGAGGCCAGGAAACTGTTTGACGCAGAGCGCCTTAAGCTCTTACAGGAGATCACGGACCTGAAAACGGCCAAGAAGCAGGTGGACGAGGCTCTGAGCAACATGATCCAAGCGGACAAAATCAAGGCTGGGGACCTCAGGAGTGAGCATCAGTCCCACCAAGAAGCCATCTCGAAGATCAAGTGGGAGTCGGAGCGGGACATCCGGAGGCTGGTTAGTACAGTGATCCCTTCCGACCAGGGCGGAGCCGTGTCTTCCAGGCTTCAGACTCCGTGGCATTCGCTTGGTCAGTGGTTTCCTTGTCAGTGGCTTTATGAACAATGCCGAGCTTCCATCACATGCTGTGTCTAAGATACAGGGTAGATCAACGACAGGTAGATAAATAGATATGCTGAGGCCAAAACTGGAATTGTGAAATAAATGTGAGAGACTTTGGAATCAATCATAAAATCTAGATTCTCCCAGCCCCACCTATAGAGAGAGTATCCATTCAATGACTCCTGTTTTCTTGGATATTTATTAAAATATTGTGAATTATGAACTCTTCCAAAGTCAGCCTAATTTTGAGGGCTTTTCATTTATGAAAACTTATTGGGTTTTTTTAGAAGGGCCAGGGGAAGTTTTGGTGACTTTCAAGATGCTGAAAACGGTGGCCACTGGAAACATCTTGAGTGACTCACCAGTCTTGTTTTCAGGAACTAAGTCTGGAAGCAAGACACAAAACTATAAAATCCTTAGCCATTTTAAAAATAGATCTTTTCCCCAAAATAAACAGGGCCGTTTAAAACAGGAGCCATTATAATTTTTTAGTTGGGTGTCGTTCCTAAGTAGCTTGTTTGCTGTTTGTAATTTCTGAGACTTACCTCAGTACTTACAGAGTTGGGGCTTTCCTTCTAAACATGCATGACCAAAAAGCCACAGAGGGCTCTCACCATGCTTAAAAATAAAACAAATGTAACTGTCATCCGAAAACTAGAATGCCTTTTTCTGACCTTATCCAATTATTTGAGTAGAAGAAATATTTATATTCATCTACACCCAGATCTCCAGCATTAGTTGGTCTTAGTTGTATCTTATCAAGTCAACCATCACCTGTTACAGCGTACTTTATGCTTCTCTCAAATAATGTTTTCTTAGGAAACACTACACATCTCCTCTTTTGTCTTCCAAGTCTAAGCAATTACTTTCTGAGAATCTTATGTTCCTTGGATGATATCTCTAGGATTTAAATTTTAAGGTCAAAGTGGTAGAACGTGTTTAAAAGCTAATGTGTGATTTTCTTTGTACTGTGATACAGTGTGACTGTAAAATATTGCCTTTGCCATACTTTCTGAATTCTTTATCTGCAATTTATTCTATTGCACTCTTTGACGATAACGACCAAATACAGTGCAGAAATATTGGTCTCTGCTCTGCCTTTGGTTTTTGAAATGGCTAATGAAGAATGAATCAGGACTTAGAACTCTGGAGTCGGCAGGTAGGTAAGTAAAAAGGAAGTTTTGCACTAAATATTTTGTTTGTTGATGGTTTTCAATGTAAAATCTATAAGTATATCCACTTATAAATCTGCAAATTTTTGCCATGACTTTTTTTTTTTACCAGCATATTACTGAAGTAGACATGAAATCCCTTTTAATAATAGTATGAAATCTAAGCCACCTGAAGATTAGTTAAAAAAAAGAAAAGAAAAACTGGGTGCAAAGAGAATAACATGGGAAACTTTTCTAATAATGCAAATATACTTGTCTTCATTTTTTCCTTCTTATTGCCTTGTGCCTACCCCCACCCCCAGCTCCATTTTTGGAACTGGGAGGGAGAGAAATGGAAGCCTTTCTGTCTAGAAAATTTCCCCAGAAAATTCTGTATGTACCCTTTCCCATCCAAAAAGTAGAGCCTTGGTTGAGTTACAGTATTCTGAGATTAGAGCCCATGCTCATAATCACTATGCAGCAGAGACTCCTCGATACTAATTACTAGGTACTCCACAGAAAACCACCCTGGAAGATGCTGGAAGTAAATGAATAGTCTTGGAGCCAGTGTAGCACAGTGCCTAACAGAATGGGCTGTACAGTCAGAAGACTGAGTTAAAAATCAGGTTTCACAATTTACTAGCCATATGATTTTGACCAAGTTTTTGACCTTTTGGGTCCTCAGTCATTATCTGTAAAATGGTGACAATAGAACCTACTGAATGGGATTGTTATTAAAAAAAAAAAGGTGTGTAAAAAGCTCTGAGTGCAGTCGCTTGGATATAGTACAAGATCGGTAAGTTTCAGTTATGGTGATGGTGATGATGAGGATGAATATGGGCAGTAATGGATTGCTTCCCCAGCAAGCTCATTTAGGTAGAGTACATAAAAACCAACCAGGAACATGCAGATATGGAGCTTCATTAAACTGTAGATAAAAATGACACTCTAGATGACAGGTCTGACAAATGAAGGTGATGTTAAGAAAAACACTGGACTCCAGTCTTCTGCAAGGAGTTGGGAACTAAAGACAATACTTTTATTCCCAAATTAACAGGACAATATTTGATTCCTCACCACGTTATCAGATAATATTATAGGATCATGTGAAATTTAGTCCAGTGCCCTCCCAAAATCGACCTAAAATTTCATCATGTGACTTAGAGGCAATAGCTCACAGATATTTATATGTAGAAAATATGTGACTATGTAACGTCATTTCTGTCCCAGATAATTTTTGTTCCTGGTCTAAGAGCATGGCAAAGAAAGATTTACACAAAGCGATTTGTTTCGTATAAGGAGACACTATTAGAAAAAAGGAAAGCAACATCATGATGTTTGTATTAAATATCTTTTCCCTATTGCGATTTTGAATACTCAATAGATTATAATGAAATGGGAAGAAAGGTTTCATTTAATGATTATGCTGTCTTTGAAAATTGTTTCCAGACATTTCACTTCATTAGCCATCATCCAGGGATGGCAGAAAGGTTTCAGTCCAGAGGAACTCTGATCCATTGATATCGAATGCCGTTAGTTGAGGCGTTAGTTGAGAAATACCTCTGAGGCCATGCTCAGGATTAACAGAAATGAGTGTTAAGATCAGTAAATATTTCCCACAGATGTGTAGGGGGGATATAGTGGCTAATATTACCAGGTATTTTCCATCCCTGTGCTAGTCCCAAACAATGATTTTCTGACAGCGATGGTAAAATGGTTGCTAAGAACTGGCTGCTCTGAAACACCCATAAGAATGGAAAGAGCCATAACACATGAACCACGGAAGGACCTCCCTCCAAATTCACCACCTGAATTCAAGCATGTTGATCTTCGGAAATGATGAGGCCACTGGAGGTCTGCAGTTTCTTCAGTTGCAAATGACCTACCAATAGTAGCAACTGCTATTTTGGTTGAACTTAAATGCCCAATTCCCCAAAGAGGAGGTAATATCAAAATTTGTCCTGGGGAAACACTGTAGCGGAATGTTTAGTATTCCCCTTTATTAAAATGAATGACCCATTTCAAAGTTAGCCTTTCCTTTCTGTATCTAACCAACCCAGACCATTTCAAACAACATATTGAATCACAACATCTACACAGGATATACTAGAGAGAAAAAATTACTCTCCTTGACATCTGATTAACCTAGGATAACCCTTCATCATACAATGTTGCCTCAACTTCTTCATGAAACCAGTACACTTAGTACAGTTGTCATAGTAATTATTTTTTAAAATATAGCAATCAGATGAAAGAAGTTAAACTCATATCATGGTAAAAATACATTTCTTTACAGCATTGTTAAATAAAATGTCCTGGGTCTCATTTAATTTAGATGGATGAAATCAAAGCCAAGGACAGGATCATCTTTTCCCTGGAAAAGGAACTGGAGACGCAAACAGGCTATGTACAGAAACTCCAGCTGCAGAAGGAGGCTTTGGACGAACAGCTCTTTCTGGTCAAGGAGGCCGAGTGTAACATGAGCAGTCCAAAACGAGAAATTCCAGGAAGGGCAGGAGATGGCTCCGAACACTGCAGCAGTCCTGTAAGTCCATTCCAGCTGTAGCTGAGAGCTCACCAGTCATCTTTTATTTAGCTCCCAAGTTTTACTTTTCACTTAAGCTCTTTTCCTGTTTACTGCAAAGAAATCAATTCTCCCTCCTACTATAACACCAGCTAGTATCTTGGGAACAGGGTTTGCTAAACTTGGACAACAAAGTGGTCTGCACAGCATTAGCAGATCACATGAGAATTACAGATTTCTTTAAATCCTTTATAGGGCTTTTCTAGCCAGATGATATCTATCCAAATTTAAGTCTGTTGTAAAAATCATAAATTCGGTGAAAATATTTCCCTCTTGCCAATATTGGTAAATTTCCCTTTTGTGAACAATTGGGTTGGAAATTGGCAAAAATGCTTATCATCTTCAGGGCTCAAAAAATATGTAACTGTATAAAAGCTGAAACCATTTTATGATCTTCATCTGAAAGCGTCTAGTCTGGTTGCACTTGCCACTTATTTCCCTGGATTTTTTTCGTCATTTTATATGAGAAACTATTTTCAGAAGTGCAGTGATAGAAATTGGCTTGCATGTAGTTGGCTATACATATTATACCTTTCAAATTATTTAGCTGCTATAATGATGAAAATGTATTATTTAGGAACAGAGATGGGTTCCAAAGTACTACTTAGAACTAAGTAATGAATAATTTATGAATCAGTATTCAGGATATATATATCCTAGTAGGTGGTGGAATGAATACTGATCTAGGATTTAGCAGATGTAAGTCTTGTCACTGACATGCACCTGCAATGTAGCTTAATTGGCAAGAGAACAGGCTCTAGAGTTAGACCATGTGGTTCAAATCCTGGATCTGCGATTTATTGTGTGACCTTAGGCAAACCACTTCACCGCTCAGCTCCCTCCTATGTAAAATAGAGGCTATAGTAGTACTCCACAAGGCTGGTCTAAGGATTAGAAGAAATGATACATAAAATGTTGAGCATAGTGTCTCTGGCACGCAGTTCGCATTCTACAGATGTTAGTTATTGATCTATTGATATTAGACACAAGATCTTGATCGAGCTATGAACTACCTGAATTTTACCTGCTTTGCTGAATCCTCTAGGATATTGTGAACCTAAGGTTATAATGTCTTTGAAACTGCTTTGGCAGCAGTATGGCACTATCAGAATGTAAGATGATAACAGAATTGCAAGCATATGATAACAGTCCTATGCACTCTGCAGCAGGGAGTCACAGTACATGACTGCTGTGTGTAAGGTGATTCATGGCAATTCTGCCAATGGGCAAGCTGGCCGCATTGGGCAAAATATACTAGTGAGGGCTAGTGTATAAACTGCTGCTTCTTATACATGAGGGTTATGCACCAACCTTTTCTCACTCTGACCTTTTTCTTCAGGGGAATGCAGGAATTTACAAAGCCCATCCCTACCTCTTACTCTGTTCCCTCTGTGGCTAAGTATAATAGCCAGACAGCTGTCTGAGCTGTGGGAAGCGATGTGCAGTCATGACACAAGGGATGCTCCTTGAACCCTGTGTAATCACAGCGTGACCTTGGTCTCACCACACACAGCTCTGATAAGCTGATACAGCCTTCTGCATTCCCCCTGCCCTAAATCCTGGCTCCAGGGAGTATCTGCCACATGGAATTCATTTTCATTTTCAACCAGGCCTGGTCTCCAACCCAAGTGGTTATTATTGGGAGTTATAAAAGGGTAAAAATTGACTCTTCTCTGAATAAGAGAACATTTTACTCTCACTTCATGGGCCAGATAAATAGAACTGAGCCTATTACTTTTTTTATGAGTAATGAGTGGCATTCCAAAACGTTGTGAAAAGTGTTGCCTAAGCATTACCCATTTTAATTTTCATGTGTAGGATTTGCGGAGAAATCAGAAGAGAATAGCTGAACTGAATGCCACTATAAGAAAATTGGAAGACAGGAACACCTTGCTTGGAGATGAACGAAATGAATTGGTGAGTCACACTCAAAATCTTGTTGTTATCGTTAAGCATGATGTCACAGGAGTGTATATCATGTTATAGAAATATACCATAATAGAAAAAAGTGCACAAATAATAAAGTTACAGTTCAGTAAATATTCACGAAGTGGCACACCTGTCTAACTACCACTCCCAGTGCCTCAGAACCTCCCTCTTGTGACCCTTCCCAATCACCATCCTGTTACAGTTAACCACTATTCTTACTTCTATCACCATTAGATGTCTATCACTTTTTAAAAATGTTTTGCGAAGGGAATCACACAGTACTCACTCTTTCGTGTTTGGCTTATTGTGCTGCTTTTGCTCAGCAGTATTTCTGAGATTCATCCGTTGTGCTACGTGTAGGGTTCATTCATTTTCATTACTCAACAGTATTAATATATTACAACGTATTTATTCATTCTAATGTTAATGGACATTTATGTTGTTTCTTAACACTTTTCAGCTGTTAAGAACGGTGCTGCTATGTGTCTTTGGTGAAAAATGTGCCCATCTCTGGTAGGAATATACAAGGGAGTACAGTTACTGGATCCTAGTGTATGCACGCAGTTAGCTTCAGTAGTTAAAACCAAATAGTTTTCTCAAGTTGTAACAATTTACATCCCCACCAACAATGAATGAAAGTCGAGGTTTCTCCACACCTTTGCCAACATGCAAAAATAATTGTTAACTTTAGCCATTTTGGTGGTCATAAGGCATATCTTATGCCTTATTATATTGTGATTTAAATTTTATTTTCCTCATTATTAATGAGATTGTATAGTGGCCTTTTGGGTATCTTTTATGATTTTTCCCTTAGCCCATTTTCTGTTGTGCTACCTTTCTCTTTCTTTCATTCTTTCTTTCTTTTTTTAGAGACAGGATCTCACTGTTTTGCTAAGCCTGGAATGCAGTGGCACAATCATAGCTCATTGCAGCCTCGAACTCCTGGGCTCAAACAAACCTCCTGCCACAGACTCCTGAGTAGCTGGGACTACAGGCATGCGCCAACACACGTGGCCTATTTTCCTTACTAAAATTAGGATTTTTTTTTTTACATCGTTTGTGGGATATTTGTATTTAAAATATCCTGCTTTGTGACTTATATTTTTACATTTTAAATGGCATTATTCAAATAAAGGAGTTATTTTCAGCCTCTCCTTATTTCAAATATATGAATGTGAGGCCATAATTGCAGTGAGCTATGATGACACCACTGCACTTTAGCCAGAGCTATAGAGTGAGACCCTGTCTCAAAAAAATAAAATAAAATAAAATTTTCTATATCCTTACTAATATTTTTGTTTGATGTTCTTCCAACAGATTTGTCTATATCTCGTCTTAGTCCTGTCAATTTTGCTCTCTCTTATATATTTGAATTAATTATTAGATGCATATAAATTAATATTTCTTATATTTTTTTGTGTATTGACCTTTGTATCATTATGAAATTTTTTTTTCTCTAGGAATATTTCTTGACTTAAAGTCTTTGTTATTAATTGAACTATATCAAGTTTTTTCTTTTAGTGTTTGTATGACTATATACATGCATATGTATATATGTGTGTGTGCATGTATATTTAAATGTATTTATATATAAATATATAATATGTATTTTTAAAATACATATTTATAAATATGCTCACATACAGACATAATACATATATTTAACTTTCAACCTTTCTCTGTTATATTTAGGGTATATCTTAAAAGGAAGATTTAGTTGGGTACTTTGGGACTGTGGTTAATGAAGTATCTAATGGTAGAATTATACATATTTTCTTTGTGTTTATATGCATTTTTGATGAATAGCATATACTAAATAAATTTAAATATTTAAAACTCATGTCATTGACCTCCAGGAAATAGACATAGATAAAATAGTGAACCTAGTGGAATAATTTATTTGTCCTATGTACACTATATTTCATATTAATGCTTCAGGTACTGCAGCTCAAGAACTGAGGATTAAGTCAGATTATTCATGAAAAATAAACCTAAATTTGACCTTTAATATAAATGGAGTTTTCAAACTGAGATTGGGGTGGGTTTGGGGCCATGCTATTTTGGAGCCGCAAGGGGAACTTTTACAAACATTCATAGGTGGCTAAGTCTCCTACCTCAGCACCTCCCACGTTAGACTGGGAAGAGCAGGAGTGAATAATTTTAAAAATCACCCCAAGTGTTTCTGATACACCCCTCTCTTTTCCTTGCTTTGGCAGCTCCTCCCCCAATACATATTCGCATTCTGAATCATTAGTATGAAAAGAATGAACTAACCATGAAAACTTTAAAATGGAAATCCATTATTTATAGGATGATCATCAATGTATCATCCAAATTGGAGAGTTTTAAGAATAAAAGGGGAGACTGTTAACAATTACCCCAAGACAACATTCATGAACTTAAACCAGTGGTTCTCAACTAGAGGCGATTTGGGCAATATCTGGAGACATTTTGGGTTGTCACAACTGGCAGGTTGTTACTGGCATCTAGCAGGCAGAGGCCAGGGATGCTGCTAAACATCCTACAATACACAGTACAGCTCCTCACAGCAAAAAACTATATCTGGCCCAAAATGTCAAGGCTGCTGAGGTTGAAAATCTCTGTTTCGACTAATCAGGCAAACAAGAGTATGGAAGCTCTTAATTATGGGTGAGTAACAATACAATCATACTTTTCCTAGGCTGGTAAAAATTAGATATTCTTTAAAAACAAACATCAGTATAGTTTCATTACCTATGTGTGTTTTTCCCTCCATAAAACTTCCTTTAAAATAACCTTAGTGTGAGTCAGGAGATTGCAGTAAGATCTCCAAGGGAAGGAACTGGCTTTGGGGATGACCAGTCTTGGATTCAGGTCCTGGCTGTGTCACTTAGTGACCCCATTTCCTGGATGAACCCCCTTATCTCTCTGATCCAATGAGGACATTGCAAGTCCAGACTGGGGGTGAGGACAGTGTGGAAACTGAGGTAGAGGAAGCAAAAGAGAAAAAGAAGAACAGTTATACTCCCCCAGGCATTTCCAAAAAGCAGTCTCTCTGCAGCACCTCCTTTAAGGTAATAGATTGATTCGGGGTTATGAGTGTACGAAGAAAAGCCATTACAGGAAAGGGAAAACGAAGCAGTCAGTCTGCCACGTGGAGGACTGGAGTGTTGGTAGTTAGTTCTGAGGTACATAGTGAAGCAGACCAAGGTGGCTCGGAAGGTGCTTTCCCTCCCAGCAACTTACTCCCCCTGCTCTACATAACCCCAAACACAAGAGACAAATTTCAACTTATTTCTTCCCAGTTAAAACGCGTGCGGGAAACCGAAAAACAATGTAAACCTCTCCTGGAAAGGAACAAGTGCCTCGCCAAGAGAAACGATGAGCTGATGGTGTCCTTGCAGCGCATGGAAGAAAAACTAAAAGCCGTTACCAAGGAAAATTTGGAAATGGTGCGTATCACAGACTCTGCGAAACCGTAGCTTCCTTCTTCATATTACTCCAATAACCTGCCTTCCTGTTATTTCTTAGCTTATTTTTAAAATACAATGCTGTTTGGATTTTCCCTTATGTAAGCAAGGGAGCTTTAAGGAAGAAAGCAAGAGAAGGTTGCTGGCTCTGAATTTTATGGGGTTTCTAAATTTGCAGAACTGTGGGAGTGCTTCCAGGAATCTGCACAGTCCCCAAAAGCTCAGAAATGGAGAAGCAAAGCTCCAACACAACTCCTCAGCCACAGAAACCTTTCTTCCAAGATTTCACTAGTGTGCTATTTACAGACCCATACACCAGGCACACCTTGTCTGCTAAGCTCTTGCATAATAGTTGAGAAATAGATACCATTACTTGTATTATGTATAGACAAGTGATATGCTGATGTTCTCCTTCATAGACTTCCAGTACACCCACAGAGATCCTCAGACAATTCCCAAAGATTTTTGATTTTATTATAGCATGTAAAGTAAACTTGAGGATTTTAGTTGGTGTGTGTGTATTCAAGCTAGACAATTTTCAAATCTAGCTAAAGCTTCATAAACTTTCTACAGGTATGTTATTTTAATAATAACTAAAGTCTGGGATCTTTAAATCTTACACCTTATCTTCTTCTTTTCCAACCCAGAGAGAAAAAATAACATCCCATCCACCTCTGAAGAAATTAAAATCTCTGAATGATCTCGACCAAGCTAATGAAGAGCAAGAAACAGAGTTTCTAAAACTTCAGGTCATTGAGCAACAGAACATTATTGATGAGCTCACAAGGGTAGGTCTTGATCAATCCGTAAATTCTAAATTGTTCCCAGTGACAAGTAACCAACAAGACATACACTGAAAGCACTTAATAATTTTGGATAACCCCAGAGGCCCAAGTTCATATGTTCAATATGTAATTATGTTTAAGAGACTGCCTTTTGAAAATATTTTACGTTATTAAACTGCTTTATACCTTTTCAATTATAGCCCTTTGTTAACTAATTTGACAACTTAAATAATAATTGCAAAAGCACATTAAAAGAACTTTCAAAAGCATTGCTGTGGAAGTTGGTGGGTGGAGTGGGTGTGTCTTGTAATTGCCTTCCAGTATCAGGATCCTGAGGCTCAGAGATTGAATATGTTGCGTACGATAACAAGATCATATGTCCCTCTTGTTTCCCAGCACCTAATTCAGTGTCTAGCACATAGTTACAGTTTAAGAAATGTTCATTGGGTGAACAGCAACAGCACAATTACATAACAGAGCTGAGGTTCCAGTCCAGATTTTCTGACCATTTGCTACAGTACCTGCTCAGTGGGCAGGGCAGTAATTACTCCCATCCGCATCTGGCTGAGGTCTGCACCAGCAAAAATGGACGAAGACCTCTAGATGCCTTCGGGTCTTCCTCTTTGCTTCTCTGACTTTCTTCCGTGAATGACACCTTTGGTTGCTCTCACTTCAGGACCAAGCCAAGGCCTAGAGACCTGAAGAACCAGAGGGTTTTAGCCAGTACTTTCCAGAGTAGGGTGAGCAAGATGATTCACTGCCATGGAGAGAAAGAAAGATTATAATTTCTGTTTATAGTTATAGTTCATCTTTTAAGATTTTATGTCGAGTATATGTTATACTGCATACACTAGATTAGGAGGGTAATCTAAGTATATAATGTATAATTTTAAAAGTCTCAGATATATTGAGGTTGCATGATAAAAATATTTTTACTTATAAAGGGGAAAAATAAAAAAAGCCTAAACACCTCTAGCTTAAACCAGGTTATTTATTAAATAACCTGATCTGAAGCCATCTTCCCGTCACTTTATTTTCACATCCTAATAAATCATAAATCTTATAGATTCACTAGACCAGGAATTTGCCTGGCTTTGAGTATCCTGAGATTAAGCTGTAAGTTTCTTATAGAATTTTGGGCTATTTAGGCATATTGATCACACTTTCAGGGAGACATGCCATTGTAGTGGGGTTTTTTTTTTTGTTTGTTTGTTTTGGGGTTTTTTTGAGACAGAGTCTCAGTCTAGCGTGGGCTAGCGTGCTGTGGCATCAGTCCAGCTCACAGCAACCTCAAACTCCTGGGCTCAAGCAATCCCACCCATCCAGCTTATTCTATTTTTAATAGAGATGGGGTCTCCCTCTTGCTCTGGCTGGTCTCAAACTCTTGACCTCAAGCAGTCCTCCTCCATCGGCCTCCCAGAGTGTTAGGATTACAGGCGTGAGCCTCCACACCTGGCCATGCCATGTAGGTTAAATTTGTGCAGTAAATACATGGAATACTTGGTGGGTAAACCCTAAATTCTTAGGATATTCCCAGTCACAGCAAGAATGAATCAAGAAATCAAAGACTAGCTCAGGTGTGAGCCCCGGCCCTGAAGCTCTGCACAAACATCTGCAGATCAAGAAGACTTTACTCTCTTCTTGGGGGAAAGAAAGAAAGATGAAGAACGAGAGAAGAGAGAGAGAGAGAGAGAGAGAGAGAGAAAGAAAGAAAAAGAAAGGAAAGAAAGAAGAAAAGAAAGAAAGAAAAGAAAGAAAGAAAGAAAGAAAGAAAGAAGAAAGAAGAAAGAAAGAAAGAAAGAAAGAAAGAAAGAAAGAAAGAAAGAAAGAAAGAAAGAAAGAAAGAAAGAAAGAATTTGATCATTATTTCTAGGCATTCTTTGAGATTCCCAGAAAATTAAAAAAAAAAAAAAAAAAACAGAAGTCAAAACAAAACAAAAACACTAAATGACTCTAACCAACTGGATAAACTCGATACTCTGTTCTCTGTCCTATTTTCAGGGATTGCAGGTGAGTGCAGGGATCCCAAAATAGTCCGAAGACAGCTTTCTATGCATTTAAAATGACTAAATGAAAAGAATAAGGTTTTACTTTATTGTGAAATGATATGTTTTCATACAAATTGAAAGTAATTTTGGATTTGAGAAAACTGTGAAACTGTGCTTAGAGGAAATATGAGTAATTATATTTAGAGCTATTTGATTTTTAAGTACAAAATAAAGAATTCTGATTAGGAACACAGTACACTTTCTGATTGTGAGGTTCTTCGATCCACATACATTATCAGCCAAAATTGTAGAATATTCTTACTTTGAAAATATTTACATATCCAACCCCAAAGTTGCCAAAATTTACAAAACAAAATCTTAGTCTATTCTAAATGTAATGCCTTAGGGGAAAAATAACTCTTTCTTTACCAAAAAACAAAACAAAATAAAAAAATAAAAAAAAACTATAGGGAGATATCTACCAACTGTCTATCTGCAAAGTCCTTCATCTGTTTTCCAGGATCGGGAAAAGCTCATCCGTAGAAGAAGGCATAGAAGAAGTTCCAAGCCAATTAAGGTAATAACAAAAAACTAGGTTATCAGACATTTGCCAGAAACAGCCAGAGAAATGAGCCTTGGCATGGAATCTGTCTGCAGAGATGTGATAAATCATATGTTCCTGGACTGCTGCAGTAAACTGTGGCTTTTACTTGTTAGAAGAAAATCTTTTGTCCGGGCATTTCTTAGAAGTCTAAAAATGATTGTGTTGTGGAGTTTAGCCTGAAAGTGTTTCCTTTAAGAACTTTCTCCAAATGGAGTCGCCACTAGGTTTGATGAAGAAAGGGTTATCTGACAAGTTGGAGAGTCATACTGCAAGATTGTGTAAGAGGTACACATGATTTGACATCTTCCACTGAAGAATATTAGAGTCTGATGCCCAGCCGATAACTGATTAATGTATTTTCATCATTCACTCAGATAATATTATTGATAATGATGCCCCAAATTTATCCATATATGTATAGTCTTTTAAATTCCAAAAAAATTTTGTTAGTTTGTCTTTTTTGTTGTTTTTTGGTTTTGTTTTTGCCAAGTCGTTATTTGTTTTGGATGTGGAATTGGATAACAAGACTTAAATCTGATAATCCCTTCCGCAAAGGTGCCTCTGGTTTTCAAAGTTATTTGATCATAGTTTAAACACTGGAAAGAGTAAATCACATTAGCTCACCATGATATAAAATATAACATAAAAGAGGCTTCAGTGTTTCTATGAAGACAGCCATATATTTTTAAATCTTCCTTGAATATCTTAGAAGTGAAATAATATGGGAGAAACATTTATTGACATTATTCTGTTCATGCCTAATGTTTTTATTATATCAAAGAAGCCTTAAAGGATCCATGTCTTTTTTTTTTCTTTCTTTCTTTTTTTATTTACACCACAGTGACTTGGGAAGGATCCATGTCTTTTGTGTTCAGTTACACTCATGCCAGTTGGTGATATTTTAATATTCAACTTTCCCAACCTTTAGCTGTATCAGTAAACATGTTCTTTCCCTCCCTTCAGAGGCCTGTTTTGGACCCATTTATTGGCTATGATGAGGACTCCATGGATTCAGAGACATCATCCATGGCCTCATTTAGAACAGACAGAACACCAGCTACTCCTGACGATGACTTGGATGAAGTAAGCTTTTCCATTTCTCTGATCTTGGGTGATATTGTCCCTAAATCTTTCCTGTAAGGGAAAGAAAAAGCATTTTACCTTTCATCTGTTTTATGAGCAGCACAAAGTGATCTCATCATAGTGGCCAATTTTGAGACCACACTTGACTTCCTTACCACTTGAAAAATAGCTTCACCTATGTCAGGTAACCCTTTTAGAAACGTCTCTACAGTTCAGCTCTATAACTTGAAGACTTCTTTCAAAATAAAAGTTGCCCTCCCAAATTTTTCATCTAGGAAACGTATGAACCGAAGAACATGCTTAGAAGGCTTTTGAGTACAGTCTAAGACACTGTTTAGCAAAGCATGTTCCATGGACCACTCTCATCAGAGTGATCTAGAGCAGCGGTCCCCAATCTTTTTGGCACTAGGGACCAACATGGGGTAGGAGGATGCAGGGAAAGAAGGTGGAGCTCAGAGGGTGATGTTTATTTAAAATAGAACAAGCCTACTTCTTAACAGGCCATGGACTGGTTCCAGGTCTCGTGCCAGGGGTTGGGGACTGCAGATCTAGATGGCTTCATTATAGTGAAAATTCCTAGATCCTACCCTACAACTCCTGACTCAAGATCTTGGGGGTGACACCACAAAATCTGCATTTTTCACAAAATTCCATGGTGACTGCATTATACTGTGAAGTTTAAGACCTAAAGCTGTAAAAACAGTTTTTATACTTTATCTGGGAAAGAAGTTGTTGGAAATGAACATATTGAAAAGAAATGAGTAAAATTCTAAGATATCTAGCACCTAAGGACCAACTAATTCAGGAAATTTAGATGCAGAATCTGGTTATGACTCTTTCTCATTTGGATCCAAAATTGGCTGAGATCCATGCCCAAATGGGTAATAATCAGAAATGTATAAATAAGTAAAAATGATTCTTTTTAAAACTAAATATGTACATGTTTCTGCAATGCCCACCTTGAAAGTATTAACAGTATCTGTGTCCGTACATGCACTTTAGAATTAAAAATAAAATCAAACAGAATGTTAAAACAGACCTTTTGCCTCTTTTTAAAAAGTTGAAAGGAACTTAGTATTTCACATTGAACACAGGCCCTGAACATAACACAATTAATTATGTTTTGGCTTTTTTTTTTTTTTTTAACCTCAAGAGTTTAGCAGCTGAAGAATCTGAGCTAAGATTTCGGCAATTAACGAAAGAATACCAGGCCCTCCAAAGAGCTTACGCGCTCCTGCAGGAGCAGACGGGAGGCATCATCGATGCAGAACGAGAAGCCAAGGTTAGTGTGACCTGCGTGAGTTCTTGGAGTTAGCGCGCAGCGGTCGCAGCTCAGAAGCACCACAGACATAAAATATCAATGGGACAGATTTCCTTACGCCTTTCTCTCCTCTGCAGCTTTTGAACTGTTTTATCTTTTATGTCAACAAAGCTTGACTCTGTAGACATCAGAACCAGCTTAGATGGATGCTTTTGTTCCTTTAAGGATAGTCCAGTAGATAGTTCTTACCCTTGCTATTTGAAAACGTAACATTGGCAAAGCTAGACAGTATTGGATTTTGATAATCCATTTTTAGTTTCTTGCTTGGAAAAGGAACGTTTAGCTTCCAAAAGCAATAGTTTCTTTTCTTAGTTTATAAGTGCGCAGCATTACATTTGACAGCTCGCCAAGAATTTTCACAGACAATGCCTGGCTTACACCTTTGTGACAGCCCCCTAACGCAGGTATTTTTTTCTCACAGAGAAAATTTGAGACTCAGAGAGGTTAATTGAATTGCCCAAGATCACACAGCTAGTAAATGGCAAACCTCGGATTCCAACTCACATCTCACTGGGTCATATGTTCCTTTCATAAGCCTATTTCAAAAAAAAAGGAAAAAGAAACACAGGCAACACCAATACTTAACACTTACTGAATGAACGCATGCTGTGCTCCAGGTATTGTACTGAGCACCCTACATGAATTATCTGTGTAATCCTAAAACAACCCTATGAGATATATCTTATTATTATCCTCTTTTTACAGAAGAGGAAATAATAGCTTAGTAGCAGTTTAATGTAGCTTAGTGAAGTTAAATCATTTACATAAAGTCATAAAGCTAGGATATGAACCTACCCTTCTGACTTTGGCCATAGCCACCAGACTGTAACTGCCTCATAGATAAATTTACATGGGCAAAGGGTTCATGACTACCCAGTGATTTTTATCCCAATTTCTTTTTGGAGAGTCTGCAATGCACTGAGGAGTGTTGTAGGAACTACTGTTAGTTGTTTAGTGGGAAAGGATAGATATAATGCACAATTTTTAAATGGTAACGTGCATACACACATGAACACAACATATGTAAGTGAATAAACATGTTTAAAAAAAACACTAATTTGGAATAGATAGGCAAGCAATCATTAGAAAGGAATGTACCTGTACACCTTCATGTCTATGCCCCAATACTGGAATATTTGTGGATTTCACTATCAGTATTTAAGCATTCTTACCAACATACCACTTGAGCAATTAAAATAGTAGCATGCATCTTGTTTTTTGGAGAAGTGATGATGTAGGAATCAGTCCTCTCTCTCTCATCGAATTCTCTCACCTAAAGATCTAGCATTGTCTCTGGCCATTAAAGTAAAAAAAAAAAAAAAAAAGTATCACATTGAGCAAAATCTCTAGAAGGAATCAAGATGTTAGAAAAAGAACAACAGAATAAATTCAAAGAATGTAGAAATGCAAAAATAGATAATATGGATGAAAGCATTAATAAAAACAGAAGATATTTTGATATAAGAAAAAATAGATTGCAGTCAACATAAATTCAAGGTTAAAATAGATCTTAGCAAAATTAAGCATAGCCCTTTTTAGGGGGGCTTGGTAAATATAATGTTTAACAGTCCAAAGAAATATTCTGTTCACAATTAAGAATAAGAAAATGATACCTACCATTGCTGGTTTTATTTAACTTTGTACTAAAGAATTTAGCCAGATCCTAAGACAACAACAGCTAAAAATAGGTATATGGGCAGTAAACAAAAAAATTAAACCCTAATTTTTACAGGAAAATAGGATTGTGTAGAGATAGAATACAAGAGAATCTAAAAATCAAATTACTAGACTAAATGCCATAGTACAGCAGGGTTGCTCCATAGAAGATTAGTGTCTAAAACTGCTTATACATATACACCAAATACACAATAGATAAGACGTAGATAGGTGGACAGATAGAGATTGATTTGGCTCTGAAAGAATGGAAAGAATTTGGAGAGGCAGAATGGGACAAGGCTTCACTGAAAGGGAACTTATTCAAATAAAGAGAAAAAGCACAGCGTTACAAGGCATATTTAGGAAGAAAGGATTTTAGCAAAGGAGTAGACTCTAAGTTGATGAGCAGTAAGGAAAGATTGGAAATGTAGTGGAAGTCCTTAAATGCCAAGTTAAAGAGACTGAATATTAACCTAACAATAAAGGGAGCCACAGGAAGTTTTTAACAAGCATTTCGTTCAGAAAGATTCTTTTTGTCATAGAAAAATCTTCTTTTTCCCCCCTCTCTCTCTCACTTGTTGAGTTCTAGTCAAGAAACATGAGAGGAAGGATAAAACTGAATGACCATTTTACTTTTTGAGTTCTGGAATTTTGATTTCACCAGGCTCAAGAACAGCTCCAAGCAGAGGTGCTGAGGTATAAAGCCAAAATCGAAGATCTGGAAGCGACTCTGGCTCAGAAAGGGCAGGTAGGCATTTGGTCGCTGGCTCTTCTGCAGATGCAGACAATTCAGTCCAACCTTCCTCTAGCTTACCTGTGCATGGGCCACCTCCAAGACACGGCTTGGCTCTCCACGGGGGACCTTTCTCAAACTGCGTCAGAATGTTCAGCTCTGTATTTCTGTCCCCTGGTGTTGTTCTGGCCAAAGCGTGAACCCAGCTACAACAGTGAATGAGGTTGGGCAAGAGAGAGAGAGTGCCAGAGGAGGAGAAGCCCTGTACAAATAGCCTGGAGTTGTCACAAGCTGCGTCCTTTGCCTCTATGCTACATTTATGGTTCTGCATCTTACTGTTTTCCATCCATATGTATCTGGCCTGTGTGCATTCTGACCCTTTTCACTTTTTGCCTGTGTGGTCACTTCTGAGTCCCCAGAAGGCTGGTCCTGGATTATTCAGACTGAAAAAGGCAGAAGTAGTGAGTGACGATGAAAAGGGGGGGGGGGTTTAAATTTTCCTGGCAACTTTGGCCCCAATGTCTTTGAAGAAGGGGCTGGCAGGGGTGGTTGGCAGGCAAACAAACGGGGGCGGAAAGAAGACTTCTCTGGCAAAGTGGTTTTGACGACACAGGCTCTTCCGTGCCACTCTGAAATGCTGACTGCGCGATATTCTTTGTCAAACAGGATTCACACTGGGTAGAAGATAAGCAACTTTTCATTAAGAGAAACCAGGAGCTTTTAGAAAAGGTATGTTGGGCGCAACACCTTAGCGGGGCAGAGGAGAACATGATGAGAGATCCAGGAGCAGCAGGAGGTGCTCTCAGGAGTGGCACAGGGGCCGGGGGAAGGGGAGGCTTTTCCGGCGCTGCTCTGTCCTCTGCTGCGTGCTCAACCGCATCCCTGTCACCGTCATCACCATCAGCTAGGCGGCACATGTGCATGGCTCTGCGCTGGGCAGTGTGCAGACTCGAAAGGTCGTGACCCCCGAAACCTGCTGATTTGTCGATCATATATATGTACTGTATCTACACTGTGCATATATATATAGACACGCACACGCACACATCCTATGTGCTTGTCCATCTACAAAAAAAATAAAAAAACCTCCATGACTAAGACTTGTTATTTAGTACAAGGAAGTGACAGAGTATGACTCCAAGATCACGCTGCGACCCAGCACAGACTTGTGTTCTCACTTTTAATCTTTTGGCTAAGTTTGGCTGTTTCCACTTGTTTTCAAAGGAAAGAATTTTTTTTTTTTTTTTTAGCTGCATCCAAAGCACAAAATAGTATGCCCAAGAAATTGGTCAGCAAACTAAGACAACAAAAATATGGATTAGACCCAAGAAGTAGAATTAATTCTGGTTGTCTGAACATGGGCTTTCGATTTGGGGCAATCAGACATAACAGATCATTGTTTAAGTTCAAAGATGGCTTTTCCTTTGGTATTTTACCTTCCACAAATCTAGTGAAAGATTACAAAATAATCTTGTGTCATCCTTGGCAAAAACAGGATTCTAAAGCGCATTTGAATCAGGAAAATAATTCTGCAGATCCATTCTGCAGTTACGTAGGAATGGTTTTAGAATTATTTCTACCGATATTTTCTATCCTTGGCAAGTAATAAAAGTTAACCAAAATGCCCTGGTAAGCATGAGAAGGAGAAAAAAGGTGCTTGTCCTCCCTCCCCTCTAGTCTGGCGGAGTTAAGACATCCCATATCTTACTTTCTGAGTGATGTGAGACAATGTATACATCATATACATAGCTGGATAGCTATCAAAAACTGAGAACTGGTACTCTCGGAAAGGTTCAGAGGCCCTTCAAAGAAACATCACTGGCATTGATCCTGGTCTATGAATTGCAATTTGTGAACCACTGATCCAATTGCTTCACTAACCGCCAGAAATCAACAGTCTCCCCACATATCCCATCACTGATCCAATACAAGATTCTAGTAAACAGAATCTCCTTTATAAACCAAGTCAACTTCTAAAAACTTGTGAAAGTTCACTAGACCACAAGTATCTAGGGTTGACTACATTAATTAAAGTCACATAATTTCTCACTATTTCCTCACCTTTATTTTCCTATTAGTCTCAGAGATGCCCAAGAATAAGTGTTATTACATTTCTTTATCATGAAAACAATGATTCCCATTATGTTTTCTATCTGATTTCCTTTAGTCTTGATTTCTTTGGGCTAAAGGGGGAATTTTTGAACCCAGGCTTCTAAGAATAAAGGGATGACAGAAGTGACAATGAAGCTAAACATTTTACTTCAGAAATATAGATTTGGGAAAGTAAGATACATCCTATGGTTTTTAAAAAGCCCCTGGGTTTGTATTTCTAAATTCAAGAGTCTAAATAGTTACTGTGCATAAAAGCCCACGCACACTGCTAATATCAAGGGAAGCCCAAAACCTATTGCATTTCATAAAGATTTTCTGATCCCTTAAAATCCAAAGATGACTCAGACGTGGATCCTGTCTACAGGGGGAGGCACAATTGTACACAGATAACTGAATTTTATGCTTCATCGAGTTACACTGGAGATCCTGTAAGAAAGTCTATAGGAAAACAGAAGGAAGGGGTGTCACTTCTGAATGAGTGGACTGGGGGAGGCTCTTATAGACGCTACAGCTTCGTGTTCAAGGAAGTGTAGGATTTTGTCACATAGAATAGGAGATAGGGGAGCCCTTTTGAGGCGGAGATGAGCAGATATAGAGTTCCTGAAGTAGCCAGTTCATTGGGTGAATCAGAGTTTCTAGATTCTAGTGTGCATGATCACACGTGAGCGTGTGAATGTGTGTGTAGAGATGACCGTGATAATACTTAAAACTGGAAAGCCAGGTGGTGATCAGATTTTTACAGCCTTTGAATTCCCTATTGAGGAGTTTGGCTTTATTCTGTAGGTAATTGGAATTCAGCAAAGTTTTGTATATGATGAGAACTGTTTTTAAAAATGTAATAGTATTTCTCTGATAATTTTAATTCTGGAAGTGGGAGGTATCAATCCCTCTTATTTATAACATTAGATCTGGCTCTAGTATATTGTCTCTAACCCACCATAAGGACATAGTAAGTTTTCTCAGATTCACAGGATCCCTAGAGGTTAGCCCAAGAAACAGAGCTGTCTTCCAGCATTTTTCTCTATAGCTCAAAAAACTCAAAGGATAACCAGAAGGAAAGCCAAAGACTTATTTTATTCACATCTACTTGGGAATATTTTTCATGATCTGGAAGATTTATTCACTGAATAAATGAATACTATCCATGCTTGCTTTGCAACATTGTAGATGCTTTTTGCAATGCTCGCCTAACTTCAGGATTTACTTTATTAGATAGAAAAACAGGAGGCAGAAAACCACCGGTTACAACAGGAACTACAAGACGCCAGAGACCAGAATGAGCTGCTGGAGTTTCGAAATCTAGAGCTAGAAGTAAGGAAATGATGATGATGATGATGATGATGATGATGATGATGATAAAACTATGACATAATAATAATTAACATGTACTAAGCACACCAAGGAGCTAGGAGTGGAATTAGGCCTTTTAGATTCATTCTCTCATCTGACCTCACAATCACCCTTAAGATTATAAAGCTGAGGCAACTGAGATTAAATAACTTGCCCAAGTCCCATGACTAGCAAATGGCAAAGCCTTGACGCAACTCAGAACTGTCTGCTCAGATATTGTTCTTTTCAACACTGCTGACTTTGTATACAAGGCTAATGAATAATTTTTAGATAGTTAAAAATAATAGATTTCAAACCTCCTCAATATTTCATTGCTTTTAAATAACCCTGTCCATCCTTTATTGAATTTTGATGTATTGAAATTATTACTTCAAGAATTATATTTCAAAATTTGCTCTTTATATAAATACTTTTAGTTAAATTTTGAATTTATAAAAGTAAATTTTTTATTCCCTAATGCATTTATGCAAAAACAAAGGGTTAAGGTGCAAGGTAACCTGTCTTAGGAAATACCTTGATTAATCTGACCAAATTTTAGGGGTTTGTTTTTTGTTTTTCAAGTAAAACATACAAATCAAATCAGATTTTGATTGTATCATGCAGAATCTGGCATAGGATCTGGTTGAACGTATGTGGATAGGTAAAAGGATAAGAAAAATTCCCATGGGATTTCTCTGTTATTTTGCCAGCGATTTCTTCTTGAGGTTATTTCAAATCAGGTCTAGATAAAAAGTTAGCAGTTGGCATGCTTCAGTGAAGAAGGGTACGTCATCTTTTGTAGCCCACATATCTTACTCATAAAGCCTGAGTGGATTGAATATGCAATAGGCTGCTAGCTGCCATAAAACCTCGTGGCAAGACCCCTGTTTGTGATATCTGAAAGCTCTAAATATTCATACGGTTTAAATTGGAACTCCACTTCCTGAATTTCCCTGATCAAACAATTTGCAGAAATGGAAAACACCATTTATAAATTCTTCTCCTCTACCTCTTAGTTGACTAGTCAGTTCTTTTCCATTAAATTTAAGCATGAACATCTTAAGTTTGATTTCTTTTTTCCAAATGACATTGATAAACTGCCGAAATAGCTTAAAGAGACCACTGATTTAGTCTTTAATCAGCTATTGCTTTTTTATTTTAATTTCTATATATTCTTCACTGTATTTCAAGGAAAGAGAGAGACGATCCCCTCCATTTAATCTCCAAATTCACCCATTCTCAGATGGTGTGAGTGCTCTACAGATCTACTGTATGAAAGAAGGTGTCAAGGTAGGCAGATATTTAATTTCTTACGTTTGTAGAAATTAGAAAAACTAGGAATTGGAGAAAGGGAGGTTGCTCCCAACTCTTTGGTCTTTTAGTCACTGGATGTCATTTTGATACAAACTATGTAGAAATTGAAAATAGTCACATCTATTGGAAAATCAATAGAACACAAACTATTAATAAATGCATGACAGATGTACAAATGGTCGCAGCAAAGAAGACAGGAATCCATGATTTTTTAGAACAAAGTAACATAAAGAATGATACACAATCACAATATTTAAGGTAACTAGCCTAATTACCTAGGAGAAATATGAAATAAATGTAATACTTCAAGAAGCGTATTTCCTGTCTGCCAGACGAGGAAGTTTTCCTTGAATCCCTTTGTTGTGCCATGCTAGGTGCTGTGGAATTCATAATCATGGAGTTTCAGGGTTAGAAGACACCTTGAAGTCACCCAGTTTCCACTTTCTCTTTTGCTGCGTTTAATTTAGGGAGGAGTTCTCTTTTGAAAGGGCTTAGGATTTATAACATGTTGCTGATTAGATAAAGCATAATTTTATCTCTAGTGCTACGGAAATACATTTTAAATATTAAGGTTGAATTGAGGTGCCTCTGTCTCCCAGGAAATATATTGTCCTTTAATGTAACGGAATCACATTGTGAATATATATTCCCTGGGGTAAAGCTGGGATGCCTCTGCTATTCCTGGTCTCTCCCTTTACCTTCCGCATGGCCCTTCCTGCTCCCACTCAGCTGCCAAATATACTTGCTTCAGTTGCCTTTCCACTTCCTCTGAGATTAAGCCAGACTTTCCCTTTCCTGGCGGTAAGGCTTTGCATAGTGCTGTTTGAATATGAGTAAGAGGAGAGAGTGGTACTAATGAGGTACAAACTAGAAGAAAAATTGGGCAGTAAAATTGTGCTTCCTTGTCGTTCATCTTAAACCACTTACATGGAGTTTAAACTCCCGGCTTTCCAGGGCTGCATGAAAATTTGCAAACCAAAGCAATTTTTTTGATTCAACTCTAATTAAATAAAAAGCAATTTCCCTTGTCTTTTTCCTAGATGCTTTTTTTTTTTTTTAGATAAATCACAAACAAACTAATTCAATGGATGTAACTTATATCCAAGGGAACTGTTTCAAATGGTGGAGGTCAGCTGCTTCAAACTGACTCAAGGAATAGAGAAAAAATGGTTTCCCATAAGATGAAATTAACATTAAACACCTTAAAAAATGGAATTTGCACTATAGTTTTTCATGTGGCAGTCAAAATTCTGCCAGGTCAGAATTTTGCTAATGAGAATGAAATTGGTTGATTCTTTATATTTATTAATATAACCTATTACTTTTCTTTGTGCCTGAAATCTATCATGATTGGAAAAAAAAAAAAGTTTGGTAATTATAAGAAAAAAGTCTATGATTATATATTCAAGTCCTTACTACATGCTGGACTCTTTACTGCATACATAGTGTCTTTATCCTCAAGATCAGCCTATGAAGTAGGTACTTATTATCTCCATTTTGCAACTGGCAAAATTGAGAATGAACTGTTAGGTAGTATGCCCACCTGCACGCAGCTTGTAAGAAGTAGAATAGAGACTTAAAACCAGGTGTGTCTGATTGAAAACATTCCAAGGAAGCACAGCCCTACACTGTCTTCCTCTAACTTTAGTGTTCAGGCACTGATAGAATGATAGGCCACCTTTGTGCCTTAGACTTGAATGCATCTCCTTGATTTTGCAGGATGTGAACATCCCTGACCTCATAAAGCAGCTTGATATCTTGGGTGATAATGGGGTAAGTAATGAATTGATTAAGTGTAGTATAGATATGAATCTGCCTAAACAGAGGCAAGAAATACTTTCCAGTGCATCGTGTAAAATAATAGCAAGGGAGATGCCATGTTCACATAAAGATGTTAGCTCCCTGGAGAGAGTCTACAATTTATCAAACAACTTGGCTGAGGGCTCGGAAGGATCTCTGGAAGGCAGTAGCAGAAACAGGTCCTGGTAAAGTGTTTTTCATGGACATATTTCAGGTTTGAATGCTGACCACATCTGCAGTGATTAAAGCTAATTACTGCCTGACTGTTGCATAGAAGCAGCCAGTGTGAAATTAATCAGTCATGCAGTTGCAAATGCTGCTAAATACTAGGGTTGTTGGCAGCCCCATAAAAATGGACCAGGAAGCTATAATCCCTTTTCTTTCTAAAAACACCTCCAGACAGGGTCAAGGCATATTAATTCAGTGGGAGGACCAATCATTGTGATACTAGATGAATGATGTATGTAGGTTGAAGGAGTCACTGTTTTTTCCCCCTTGAAAAATTATCAAAGGAGAGAACAGAATCAATAAAATCACATCAAAACCGCGATGAAGAGACTGCTCTTTATCTCATGTTGGTGTCTGTTTTTCTCATAACGTGACTATTAATGAGGTATGCTTACAATGACACAAAATCAAGACAGTATTAAAGAGATGTAAAAAAAAATCACATTTAATATATTTCTTTGAGGTTTTGAATTAACTCTTTGTTAATTATTACTAGAAAGAATAGGATTTGTTACAGTCCCTCACATGCATATTCAGTACTGTCTGTGGCAGGCAGTTAGGCAGTATTTTTAGTGTAAATATAAGTATCTTCAGCTTATTTCCTCTGTTTTTTATTTTTCACAGAATTTAAGAAATGAAGAACAAGTGGCCATAATTCAGGCCAGCACCGTGTTGTCCCTGGCAGAGAAGGTAATTATTTGTACTAACATTTCAATCATCTCTGTGTCTGGCTTAACACCTAAAGAATGGGGGTAGGGTGTGAAGGAAATTCCTTTTGCACATGATTTTGTGCTATTGACTACATAACACACCTTTTATTTTTAAGGCTGATACAACCCAGATGGAATGAGAAAACACAAAAGAAAAGGCTACACACTGATTTGGGATGGGTGGATAAATTTGGCTTTGAAGTCCCTTTAAAGATGGGAAACTTCTGGATTACATTATTCAAATAATCCCTACCAAGCTGGGAAACCGACAAAGAAGGTTTTTGTTGAGAGGTGGTAAACTGGAGCATTGCTCTTGTCACAGCCTTTTCCTTAGGTGTGTACCTACCTACTGTTCCCCATCGATTCTGTAGCTTAGTGGTAACCGATTGCCATCTCATTCACAAAGCCCAGTGTGGGAATTTCAGGAAAAAATCAATACTGAGTGTGCTCTTGCCCCCTTGTGTCTAAACCAGGTAAATGACAAGAGAGAGAGAGAGAAGAGAAAAAAGCCAAGTGGAGAAGCCAGATAACTTGATTTGAGGGCGCCTCCACAATCAGCACATAAAACCGGGACTGGTAGCACGCACCTGTAGTTTATTACTCAGGAGGCTGAGGAGGGAGGATCACTTGAGCCTAGGATTTCAGAGCTTTAGTGTGTTGTGAGCATACCTGTGAGTAGCCACTGCACTCCAGCCTGGGGAACATAGCAAAACCACATCTGTAAAAAAAAAAAAAAAATCAGCACAGAGTTGAGAGCCATGTGCACATGGCTGGATAAACTGAGAACTATATACATTCATTGAGATACTTCCTTAATTCCTGATGCGCAAAATGTGCTTCTGGAAATTAAATGAAACCATGTGCAAGCAAACAGCTTTCTCCAATCTGAAATGAGGGAATTTTACAGGCCAAATGACACCATTAAGTTACTGAAAATAATGACATAAAAAAAAGTAGGGGAGCAGAAAGTATTGCTATAAAATAAAAAGATACTTAGAAATATTCGAATGAATATTTGTTGGATCCCAATTTAAGCAAAACCAGGTGATTTTTTTTTAAAGGACACTTTGCTAATAACCGTGGAAATTTTCATATGGACCAGATATCAGATGACAAAAGAAGTTGATGTTAATTCTGCAAAGTGTGAAAATAGCCTTATGGTTATGTTATCAATGCTAACATCAATACCATATAACCGAATAATATATTCTGTGTATTGGGAAAGATAAGTTCTTTTTATATCATTTAAAGTGTTCCACTCAACAAAAATAATTCTTCCACACTTTGCTATAATCAGTTTTACATACTTACATATTTACCATATTTACTTACATACTTATATACTATGTATGTAAGTACCTGCATACTTACATATTTACTTACATATTTACCATTTCTCCAGTCTGCCTGGCCATCTTCCTCTCATCCTGGTCCCTCCAGCCATGGAGCTATGGGAAATGGTGTCTCTTCTGCTTGAAACTTCCTTTTCATTTTCCTAGTCATCTCCTCTCACCAATTTTTCAGACTCCAGTACAATTATCACTTCCAAAAAAGCCTCCTGTGGTGTCCTCCAGTGAAAGCAGAAGTCTTGTTGGTCTTGTTCACCATTACAGCCCAAGTACCTACCTAGCACTTGGTAGACATCCATGAATGCATTTGTTGACATCCATGAATGAATAGATAGATGAATGAATTCACAGAAGACTATAGTTTTGTTACTCAACTAAGTGATAAAAGTACATTGTTTTCACTTAAGTTCTCAGTATGTTTCCTGATATGTAAGGGAAGGAGACTAACGAACTTTGTGGACAGCACACCAATATATGTCATATCAAGCAATCATGTCAAACACTTTTGTCTTCTCAACCCTTTAGTGGATCCAGCAAATCGAAGGGGCAGAGGCTGCCTTGCACCAGAAAATGATGGAATTGGAAAGTGACATGGTGAGTACAAAGTTGAGGTATCATAAAAATTAATAAAAATGTACAAGGCAAATGGAAAATGAAAGTTGCCTCTACCTGTTTTATCTGGCACTGATGAAAATACGTAGCCTCATTATTTTGTGTTCAGACCATGGAACAAAATTCCCAGAAGTATCTAACAATTTCAAGTTATAGTCTGAAAAAAATAATGTTATGTTTTTGGGAAATTTCTAAAACTAATGCTGAAGAAAAATAAGTTAGGTGTTTTCTTTCTTAGGCTAAATAATTTTTCTACTGTATTTAATCATCAGGTAAAACTTAACAAAATGGTGGATGTAACTCTGACTTTAAAAATCTCCAAGCTACCTCCCATCCATTAGGATAGCTCCTATCAAAAAAACCCAAAAAATAACAAGTGTTGGCAAAGATGTAGAGAAACTGAAACTCTTGTGCAATGTTGGTGGGAATGTAAAATGGTAGAGCTGCTAAGAAAAACAGTACGATGATTGCTCAAAAAATTCAAAGTAGAATTACCATATGATGCAGCAATACTACTTCTGAGTATATATCCAAAAGAATTGAAAGCAAGATCTGGAAGACATACTTATACCCCCATGTTCATAGCAGCATTATTCATAATAGCCAAAAGGTAGAAAAACCCAAATGTCCATAGATAAAAGAATGGATAAATAAAATGTGGCATATACATACAATGGAAGAGTATTCAGCTTTAAAAAGGAAGACAATTCTGATATAGCTAGCTACAGTATGGATGTACTTTGAGGACATTATGTTAAGCTAATCCGCCGAGGCGGGCGGATCGCTCAAGGTCAGGAGTTCGAGACCAGCCTGAGCAAGAGCCAGACCCTCATCTCCACTAAAAATAGAAAGAAATTAATTGACCAACTAAAAATATATATAAAAAATTAGCCGGGCATGGTGACACATGCCTGTATTCCCAGCTACTCAGAAGGCTGAGGCAGGAGGATTGCTTAAGCCCAGGAGTTTGAGGTTGCTGTGAGCTAGGCTGATGCCACAGCACTCTAGCCCAGGCAACAGAGTAAGACTCTGTCTCACAAAATAAATAAATAAATAAATAAATAAAGATACCATCAGATTCTACTCAGATGAGGTACTAGAGTAAGGTACTAGAGTAGTCAAACTCACAGGAACAGACCGTTGCCAGAGGTTGAGAGGAAGAAGAAATGTAGAACTGTTGTTTAATGGATACAGTTTTAGTTTTGCAAGATGAAAAAATTCTGGACATTGGTTGCATAACAATGTAAATACAATTCCCACTACTGAACTATACACTTAAAAATAGTTATGGTTATAAATTATATGTTACATGTATTTTACCACAATTAAAAAAAATTAAATTCCCATGTCTACGAATTGGTTATTATTAACTTACAACAATGACTAGGATTTTATAACAAGACTATCATTAATATTATCATGATAACTAAAACACATGCAATGGATTCCTATCTGGTCAGGGAGTCCTGTAATAAGAACAACTTGCATTTATATAGCATGTCACAGCTTATAAGTCATTTGCCTGTATTTTATGTGAACAGGGTTCACGTTTTACCAAGAGGTTAGGCTCTAAAGTTAAAACATATAACAAGACCTGTATTCAATATTCCCCTTGAAAGCTCTTTAAATGCACAGATATTAATTACACGGTCAGCCTGTACCAGGTGCTGTTCCAGACGCCGGAACCCAGGCATCATCAGGAAAGTCAACAACAAAATTGCTGCATGCAGACATATATTCTCTCAAAAGTCAACACAGCTGGAGTTTTCTCCAGGGTTGGAAGAGGTCTTTGTCCCTTCAGTTAGGCACCCAAAGAAACAATTGATTTGTACTTGGGACTATGTTGTACACAAAGGTACGGTTTTGAATACCAATGGCAAGATGCTCATGATATGAGAGACACACAGAAATTGAGAGCAAGTAAGGGGACGTCAATTTTATGTCTCCCAGCTCACACTGGCTTTGTGGCAAGGGCAGACGCCCACTCATTAGGTGGCAGTGTGGGTGGATTCACTCCCACTTTTCATCTTTTTTTTTTCACACTTCTACTTTTTAAACTGTTATTTGTCCTTATGTTTGCTAATTGTACACAGATGAATCTGAGTAAGTTAAATTTGTTTACTATACAAGGCTGCTATACATAACATTTTATAGAAGTCTTCCAAAGAAATACTATCACAATATTTTTACACAGATAGACGTATTGTTTAACACCTGTCAAAATCTATACTTACTTGCATACTCTCAGATTGGCATTAAAAGTCTTCTAGAGCATTCTATGTGGGTTTTTCATTATATCGTTTATGCTTCTTTCCATTGATTTTCACATTCCCTCTGTGAGACTGTGAAAGTTGGACTACGTCCCCAACAGGCAAAATCTACTCTACAAGTACTAGTGATTTGTCTTAAAGTGTAATTAGAGAAAACATTAATCAAAACAGTTTATATGTCACTTCCTAGTTAACTAAGCTGACTCTATTTATCAATATGGCCCTTTATTACAGGAACAGTTCTGCAAAATAAAAGGCTACCTGGAGGAAGAACTAGACTACAGAAAACAAGCTCTTGACCAAGCGTATATGGTAGGTACAAGTGACAGACACCCAGAGAATTTATAATTATATACTATGGAGTAAAGTATCCTATTTAATTTGCCATGCCATGTACTTGAACAGACCACAACACTCAGGTCATTTACTCATTAGTTTCCAATTATAATTTTAAAACAAATACATCCTTAGCTCTTTGCTGTTATAATAGTCTTATACTATTTAATAAATATTATATGATATTCATTTTTTAAAATCAAATATATATTGTTAGATATTTAGATGAAGGACAGATTGGATGGCAGTATAGATTAAAGAGAAAAAAATTTTTTTTCTATTCCTGTTCCTTCTGTAGAAAGAGAAATTTTATTAAATCCAATTTTGAGGGAGTCTGATCTAGTTGATAGAATACTAATGTGTTTAATGTTTGTTATGTATATATTTAATTCATTTCTTTCTCACGACAACCCTATGAGGTACATGCAAGATTATTATTAGTATCTTATAGATGAGGAAAGTCAGGTTTAGGGAGCATGAGAACTTTGTCCAAGTTGGGAAACAGTTAGTGTGCAGATCTGACTCCAGATGCTGCAGTCCTAGCTACCATAATCCAGCCGCAGAGAGGGAGGCTGTGTGGGTAAGTGGGTTGTGCCTTTTTCTCTCCCACAGAAGATTATGCAGATTGAGAAGCACATTCGATCTATTCCCTGTACCGTAATTCATATCACACAATTCCTAATATTGGACTGCAGCTCACTCTTCTTGTGTCCTGATGCCCACCCACCCCCAATTAATTCGTAGTAATGAATCAAAAGAAAAAGAGCAAACTAGAGGAATATTTCAAGGAGTTGCTAGCAGAGGTTTTTATAATGCTTTACTGGAAGCAGCCTGAGTCACTTTTGGGAAGACAGAGGGGATGGAGCACTTAGCCCCTGCTATAACAAAGATGAATTAGTCTTCCCCCTCCAAAATGAATACAGGATTCTGAGCATTGTTTGAGAAGAGAATGCAAGTTGGTGCTAATTAGAGAACAGAAAAGAAAGTAATTTTTCCCTCCCTTCCCACCCTTTCACCTTTGCCACTTCTACCTATACAGAAAATAAGGTTAAGATGTATGTTTATGTGGTGGCCAAGATTATTGAGTAATCATTCAAAAAAAAAAAAAAGAAAGAAAGAAAAACCTATTTAACTTTAAAAAGATGAGATCTTCTTAGTCTAGGACAATATTCCCCACCAAAGCATGTCTAGTTGCTTCTGTCAAAGTTACAGGGGTAAGAATGTCGATTTTGGCAACTGTATCTGCAGCTTGTGGAAAAAAATAAAAACCAGATAAGAGGCAGTAGACCCTTCATCTATAAAAGAGGAGAGTCAAAAAGAAATATTGTAGGCTAGAACAGCTATAGATCTCAGAGAACTAAAAAAAAAAAACAGACCAATTCTAAGACTGCAGGTCTTTTTTTGATTTTATTTCCCAATTTTATTTCAAGAAAAAATATGGAGACTATAAATCCATCTTCAAGTACAGAGGTTTGGAAGAGAGATGGCATTTTCTGCCTGAGATATATCTCCAATTTAAAAGTATTTTGTTCCAACTCAGATCACTTATTTTTTAAAGTACAGTCACCATGATAGATGATGTTAAATATCTGAAGGGTTGTCAAGTGGAGGAGAGAATGAACTTATTCTCAGCTCCATGTGACAACAGGAGGTACAGTTATTATAGCCAAGTACGGGCTTTCTAAAAATGAAAAGTATATGGAATGGACAGGAGCCAAAAAAAGAGAACACATTTCCCCTGCTAGAGAAGTTCACATATTGGCTAATGACTTTACGGAATCTCATAAGAGGGGAATTTTCAGAAGAGCAGTTAAACTGGAGAAGCTTTGAAGTTGCTAAGATCCTGTAAGTCTAAAGCAGGGGGTCCTCAAACTTTTTAAACAGGGGGCCAGTTCACTGACCCTCAGACCGTTGGAGGGCCGGACTATAGTTTAAAAACAAAACTATGAACAAATTTCTATGCACACTGCACATACCTTATTTTGAAGTAAAAAAAACAAACGGGCAAAAACACCCCGCATGTGGCCCGCGGGCCATAGTTAGAGGACGCCTGGAAGTAATGCATCTGTGCACATTCACATCCACAGTGCACTTCCCCACACCACACATAAATTCCAAGAGCCAAAGTTAGACTTTTCTAATTCTATTTGCCAGAGAATCCAGGAACTAGAAGCTACTTTGTACAATGCTCTGCAGCAAGAAACCGTTATCAAGTTTGGCGAATTATTAAGTGAAAAACAGCAAGAGGAGCTGAGGACGGCAGTAGAAAAGTTACGGCGGCAAATGCTGAGGAAGAGCAGAGAGTATGACTGTCAGATCCTTCAGGAGAGAATGGAGCTCTTACAGCAAGCCCACCAGGTGAGGACTGAGTCGCTGCATCTGTGTAGGGTCAGTACTGAGCCAACGGGACTTGGCACTGCGTACATGGTATCGAGTGTGGGTTTGGAGAAGCCCAGGAGGTAGAAGTTATTTTCAGAGGCAAAAATAAATAGCTGTTGTTTCTCGCCTTCACTCAGATACAGGATGACAGTTTTGTCATGATTTGGTCCTGAGAAAACTGGCATTTCAGAAGCATTGCATCTGCTGCTATTTTTAGAACTTTGTCATAAAATGCTATTAGAATCTCAAGGAAGCTGGTTATCTCCCCTGTGCAGGGAAGCAGGACACTCTCCAGGGCTTCTCTCCTTCCGCTCACACCAGTCTGTGACCTAGCCAGCCTGATCACACAATCTGAATAGGGTAGAAGAGAAAAGGTCCTTTTTTTTAAATTCCCAGAACAAACAGCAACAACAACAAAGTCTGGAAGCTCCATTTACTTACTGGCATTTGCTATATGTCAGGAACTCAACTAAGGGCTCTTACTCACATCATTCCACTTAATTTCCATAATAGCTCTATGAGGTAAGTATTCTTATTATCCCAATTTGGGAGATAACAGTACTGAAGATAAGAGTGTGTAAGTAGTTTGCCCAAGATGGCACAGAAAGTAAGCAACAGTGTCAGGATTACTGCAAGGTCTGCCTGACTCCAAGGCTGGTGTGCCTAACCACTGCACTACACTGTCCTCCATGACTTGTATGATTCCTCCAGACCAGCAAGGCTCAAAGTCGGCACCCAATACTAATTTCCAGCCAGAATTCTTAATTTCAACTCTTATCCATGGCATAGTTTGACAGGAGAGGGCTGGGCCCCTGATCAAAAAGCAGATTCAATAAGAATGCCCCAAATTGAAAGTGTTAGGCTAGAGTATTCAGTCCCTAGAAGCTATAAGAAGCAACTAGTACAGTTGGTAAAAAAAACATGTGGTCATTAGCGATCAATGAGTGGAAAAGGAACAGGGTTTACTTTATGACACCAATAAGAACAATTCACAGGGAACACGACACTTTGCACACTCCAGAGGCAGCCAGGAGCATTGTGGATCTTTAACAGATTACCCAAGTTAGCAGGGAACTCTGAAGCCATTTGTCCCCAGAGATGATAAATAGAAGCATGTTGCTATCGATGCCCCTTTGGATTCTGTCACAAAGGTTTGGCTTTGACCCATGGAAAGAGTTTTTAAAGCCTTTATTAATAGGCTCTATGGCATCATTGCATCACTTCACACATTCTTCCCTTCTAGCACAGGATAAAAGTGTCCTCTGCACAAATCCCTTAGGCTGCAATAGCATTTAGTTAGTTTCACAAATGGGGGGTTATATCATGGAACCACAAAAGTGTGTGTCGTTAAGATGGACTAATAGTTATCTCAATTTTTCATAAAATCCTTACCCCATTTGAGTCTCTCTTTAAACCAGTTAGCTAACGTACTTTGCTCCTGAAAGAGTTGGTTTTGTTTGTTTGTTTTAAGTTACCCAGTTTGAGTTGATAGGCACATTACATTTTCTGAGCCTCAGAGGGTTCCATTGACATTTTCTGTCTCCCAAACAAGTGTTCGTTTGAATATGCCTTTTCTAGTTATTTCTTACTCTTCTTCTTCCCTTTTAATCAGTAGCTTAATTTCATAAAATTATTCCAGAAAGCATTGGCCTTGATTTGTCATATATAATTATGTAATGCACTCTACCTTCTAGAGCATATCACTAACCATTTATTAGACATTTCTGCTTTGAGTGTTGCAGAGTGAACTCAAACACGCATTCTTGTCCTTCCCTCCTCTCACCCCATCTGCCTGTCTTGGTCAGTAGAATTATCATATCCACATCATTCAGGCTAGAAACACTGGAATCTTCTCTGTCCTTTACCTCCAAGAATTAATGCCAACACATCCGTCTGGCACTTCCCCTGTAGTGTTTTTGAAGCTGGTCCATTTTGTTTGCACTTGTCACCCAGGCATGTATGTGCAGGACCTTTCATTATTGCAACAGCTTCTAGGTACTGCCTAATGTCCTCTATGGTAATGTGACTCTGTCATCGACACACTTATTCAGTCAAATCTTTAAATGCATTTCCTGGATGCTAGATGCCGTGATAGGCACAGAGAATTCACCATGGACCCTGCCTTCACAAAACTTAGGCTCTGTAGATGGATACAAAGGAGATTAATACAAAGAATAATTATGATACATCTTAATAAATGGCATTTTAAAAAGTACATGCAGGGTGCCATGGGGTATTAGTTCCAGCTCTCCTCTCTTTGGTCTACCATGCATATCGCCACAGATTCTTCTCACCTTTTCTCATGGTACGTTCTGGCCCAGGAAGCTTCCATGGTTTCAATTTCCAGTTGAGTCAAGCATTGTGCAAGTCTCTTCATTAGCTGGCTACCTCTCCCCCAAAAACTTGCTGTGAAACAATCTCCAGAGCATGCTTTCCACTCCACTCATGCAAAACTTCCTGGTACTACTGGGGCCATGAGTTCCCACCTTTAAGCCATTGTGTGTGTGACTGCTCACCCTAAAATGCCCTTCAATTCCCATTTCATTGATCCAGACGTTCTCATTTTTCCAGTCCCAGTTTAAGATCCACTTCCTTCAGGAGCCTCTCGCTGATGAAAAAAATGGACCACACACTGCTGAAAAAAACCTACATTCCACACCCTGTCATAAAAAGCCATTCATTGAGAACTCACTGTGTAGCAGGCACTGGGAATGTGATGGCAAACAAAGACATAAAGGTCACTACTGTCATCTGTCTTACAGATGGACAGGGACAAAGCCACACAGGAACAGTGACCATGACAATTTCAGAGAGTGGCAATATATGATGAAGAAAGTTATACAATGGGTGTGAGTTTGGGAGTAGGATTGGCCACTTTAGACTGGCTGGTCAGAGAAAGTCTCTCTGAAGATGTCTAAGACCCAAGGAACCAGCCACACAAAGACCTTGGCAAAGTGTCCCAAAACATAGGGGCAGCAAGGGCTAAGTCCCTGTGGTGGGAATAAGTTTGGAACATTCGGGAAACAGAGAAAAGGGTAGTAAATCAGGAACATACAGAGCCAGGGTGAGGTTAATAGGAGGTGATGTCAGAGAGCTAAGAAAGGGCGAGACCACGTAAGGCCTTACTGGAGTTTGGATTTTATTCCGAGTATCACTCACCCACTCTTCCTCTGTCCCCTTCCTTCCCTGCTTAAACTCAAGGGACAGTAGTGAGCATTTTCACATTCTGAGAGTTCACATTGGCTGCTGTAGGTGAATGTAGGATGGTCACGATACAAGACAGGAAGAGCTGGCGTGAGCTATCATGCCGGTCCTGATGAGGGATGACAATGACGTGGTGTACTTGGTCACAGCAGAGATCAAAAGAAGTAGGTAGAAAAAGGATCTATTTTGGACCTGACAAGGTTTCCTGTTGGATCGAATGGCAAATGGATGGGAAGGAAAAAGGAAATCAAGCATATGTCATACAATGTAGCATAACAAATTTATTTAACAAATATGTATGGACAGCTTCTCCATGCCAGTCACTAGAGATGGCGATGAAGCTGTACTGATTTTTGCTGTCAATTACCTTTTCTACTTAATTTAGTTATTCCATCTGCACCTGATAGTTCTTTGTGATCAGGAACTAACTGATGCACATGGCTGGGAATTACTTGCACACTTAAGGTGGAAATGTCTTGCAAACTTATGCTTTTACTGTAGCTTTGGAGCATAGGCAGCACTACAGACGTATACACCAGCACACGCATCACACACATATATACACACCATCACCTTCTCCAGCATCTATTGTCATGTGATTTCAAGGTCAACTTTGATGGGCTCACTCTGACCAAAACACACCGTCCCCTCTTGCACAAACCTCAGCTCCTTTCCTTTAGAGCAGGATTTCTCAAACTTGAGCAGCACTGACATTTTTGAGCCAGATAATTCTTTATTCTATACTGTGGGGGCCTTAGGGAGGTGCTGTTCTGTGTATTGTAGGATGTTTGGTAGCATCCCAGGCTTCTACCCACACCCTAACTTCTAACTGGGTACACAGAGTACCCAGTTGTGACAATAAAAAAAATTGTCCAGGCAGTTAGATAGTAGCAGTGGTTGCACAACTTTGTGAACATGCTAAAAACCACTGAATTATACAATTTAAAATAAACAAATATATTAACCGACTCTTTAAAATATCCAGAAATTGCCAAATGTCCCTGGAGGGAGGAGGGCGGCAGGCAAAATCACCCCCAGTTGGGATCCAGTGTTTCAGAAAGAAGGAGATGTGATTTCCAAGTTCAAGTATCCTTTGTTCTAGCTAGCTTCCCTTTTTTCTCCCCATGTTGCATTATAAAAACCTCTCTTTCTAAATTATCACCCCATTTGGCTTCTGGTGTTTTCTTCTTAGAATCTCCCAGTTTTCTATTTTCTAATTATTCCCAAGAGAGGCATTAAATGACAGGCCTATGCGGCATATCCATATGCAGGAACACAAAAAGCCTTTCAATTGCCAAATATAAATGTGAAGTTTTTACTTGTAAATAATTATCTATATAATGTCAATTTCAAATTTGTTCTGTTTAAATTAGTGGAATTTTGTTTGTTACTTAGTTGACAGGTAAATTCAGAGACAGCTCTAGAGCTTCTTTGTCTTTCGGATTACTTGTGCTATTTTTGTTATGTTCTGTGATTTTTTCCTAATTTATAGTTTCCCCCTAGGAATTTTTGTTGAAGCATAATTTCTATTTTGTTTTATGAGAATGGCCAGTGCTGTTTGGTGAGGCTCTACGACCCTGAAACAGTTGTGAAATAAGGTTGAGAAAAAAAAAAAAAGGTTAGCAAAGAACAATGGTATTGCTTATATTTGTGTGAGTCAGCCTTCGCCACTTTTAATGTCATAATAAACGACCAAAAATCTCAATCCAGATGGTTTACAATAAAGCTTGTTTCTTGCTCACTAGCTCTAGGACATACTGCTCTCTCTACAAGGATGTAATATTCCCACATCTCACTCCAACTCACATTCCACTGGCCAAAACAAACCTCGTGGCCAAGCCCAGTGTCACCCAATGTCAGTGCGGTGGGATCTATATGTCTGTCACTGGGATGGCACTGGCAGGCATAGGCCCAGTACAAATAGGTGGCAAGTATTTTTTGAAAATATTATCAGTGACAATGACTTTCCACCACAAGTATGAGTAATTTTTGAAACATGCAGTACCCTCTTGGGTAGCAGAAAAATGTACATGTAATGTTTCCATCTGCTAGTACAAATGTTCATATTTTTATAGTAAGTTTTGCATTTTAGTTTGGTGAACGATTTTTCTGTACAACTTAACACCCACTAATGCTTTCTTTTTTTCTCTCCCTCTCTCTCTTTCTTCAGAGAATCCGTGACTTAGAAGATAAAACAGATATCCAGAAAAGACAGATAAAGGATTTAGAAGAAAAGGTATGTGTTGAGTTCAATATCTATTTTATTCTCTATTTGTTCAATCAGAAAGTCATATTGGCTTTGCTCACTGCATTTGCTTTCCAGCTGCTCGGTTATTGTGTATTTTGCAGAGGCCGGTGTAGCTACTATAAATATAGCCTTCGCCTTCAATCAGGCACCAGAATTCCTGGACAGGTTCTGGCATCAGTAACCTAGCCTTGACATGTTTGCCTTTTGTGTTCATTTTTATTTTTTCTGTAAGTGTTTTCTTTCTTCCTCTTCATTTCCTTTCCAAAAGTTTCTTCTGAGTTTTGTTATTCTACTTTGCTCTTTCTTTTAAAATTCTTTTTAGCACCTTTTTAAAAAAATATTTCCCATTATTATTCATAAAAAAGACCTTTCATCTTTGTGTAGTTTCACCTCCACAATAAGTTCAGAAACTTAGGTTGATCCATGATAATTAGATCCTCTTCTCTCTTCTGAAGGATCTAAAGGAGTAACTGCTTCTTCCAAGTCAGCCAGTGTTTTAGAGGGTTGAATATAGTGGTTCTTAGGGGGCACTGGGAAGTGTGTGTCTGGTTGAAAAAGGGACAGGACACTGGCCAGGAGACCAAGCAGGCTGCCGTGAGCCAGACTGTCCCGGAGCAGGACACAGCAAGGATGGCAAGGAGATTTTGTCTGGCATTCCAGTCTAATCAACTGGAAGTAGCTACCCAAATCCCTGTATTGAAAAAGGAGAGGGCTGTTTTGCAGTATCTTCCATGGGTACATGAGAAGAAAATAGCAAACCATCTACAATTCCCGAGACAATAGTTAGAATTTGGTTCATCTCAAATTGCTTCTGTAGTTACCCAAATATGTTAGGTCAGAGAGAGTTGGTGGGGCCTAGTAGCCAGACCACCAGGCACCCAGATTCACCCAGATTCCTATACAGGTGGGTCTTCAGGGACTCATCTGACCTTGGGTAAGTGACTGTACCTCCTATGTCTAAGCCATGTCTATGAAACAGAGATGATAATACTTGCCCTTACCTCTTCTCATGGGCTCCATGAGGAACAAATGAAGTCACTTATATGAAAATTAGGAAAGACTAAGAAAGTGTAAGTCAAATTAAAAGTATAGTTTTTCAAACTTCCAACCCTCAAGTACACATCTTCTGCAAAATTTTAAATTTGAATTTCCCTCATTTCAGAAGTGGGCTATTTGGTTCTGCAGGATTGAACAAGGCAAAGGTAAAGTGCAATAAGCCAAGGACCGAGTCTAATTTCCCAGTGATTGACAAGAAGACCCGCAGAAGGCAGGGATTTCTCCCAGCTTCCCTGGGTTGTCAGAGCCCATACTGGAAGTCCTCCATTATCTGCACCTTTGAATGGCCAGATCTTAGCCATTCTCTCTGCTAATTCATAAACTGTCCCTGGGCTGGCTCAAGGGGAAGTCAAGGTTAAGGCAATTCTGCCCCCAAAACTTCGTGATACCATTCAGTCTTCATTCAACTGAGGTTTAAAAACACAAATAAAAGAGGGAGGTTTTCTAAGATCTATTAATGTCACCACCCTAGATTATTCTCTAAATAAATCCCATGGAAATGTTGGGAGCAGGGTAATTAAGATTATGTTCAATGTCAGAATTCAGTATGAACTTTTTCACAACTCAATTTTGCCAAATATACTTTACAGGTCTGAACTTTCTAGACATTTATGATAAAGGGGTAATATACCGGAACAGAAAATAAGGACTCTTTAGTTATCAAAGCTGCATATTTCACATATAATAGCAAATTAAACCACTTCAAAAACAGTTCAGTTGATTTCAGATTAGAGAGTTGACTGAGAGATGAGGTTTAAAACTCACCTTCTATTCACTTGACTTCAGTTCTATTTGCCCTCAAGCCAGGCTGAAAAGGCCAAAGATCCCTTATGTCAGAGACTCTTCATTGTTTCCCTTGGGGTACTTGAACACCCAGTCAGGGTACATGCAGTATCCCTTCCTTGTTGCTCATTTCCAGGCTCACAATTAGTACGAATCAGGGGATAACAACAAACACAAAATTGCTTCAGCTGTACCCAGCTCTTTACCTTACCCAAAGCATTTCCCTGCCATTGTCTCATTTGATTCTCAATTATTCTATGAGACAGACACAGCAGATGTTATGATCCTCTTTTATGCAGATAATAAAACAATCAAGGAAATTAAATAACTTGCCTAAGATTAGGTAACCAATCTATGGCAAATCAAGACCCAACAGGTCAGGATGTCTAATCCAAATGCCATGGTCTGCCCCCTACACTGCAGAGACTGAAAATCTCATTACTAAGTGATGGGCATCTCCCCATGCCCAGAGAGTTAGCTCTGATGTCTGATAGTCTCATAGGAATAATGGGAAGCCTTCCATTCCTCTTTTCGAGCTCCTTCTGCTACAGTTATATCTTCGAGGAATGAAAAAAAAGGGGCAGAATTTCTGCTTTTCAGAATAATAAACCAATACATGCCTCCTAGCACCATATTTATAACTTGTTTGTAGAATTTAGCAATAGTGAAGAAAGAACCTCATACGCAGTGGCATTAAAGGAAATATGCAAATAACATGCACAATATGGCAATGCCACAGCCCTTACTCAAAAATGTGTCCAACAGGATGCTTCTGGAGTGTAATAGTCAAGCAAAAGACTTACTGATTCTGCCAAGGTGAACCACCAAGGAAATCAGTTATCTTTTAAAAACTGACCTGACCTGTGACCTTTTATAATTCACATACAGTTAGCTATATACCAGTGCTACACAAGCATGAGTTTGTCCATTCATTTATCTGCTTCTCTAGTGAAGTTTCTTGGTAAAGAGAGACAAATCAGACTTCATTTAACTTCTGTGAGCCAAATAAAGAAAAGTCTATCTCAGAGGCATGACAGCTAGAGCAAAATGATGCAGTCAGTATCTGAAACACCCACTGATGTAGAAGCATGTTTCATACCAGTAGCATGGCCACCCATCCTCACTTGCCCAGGGCAGACCCCGTTTGTACCTCTTGCCCCAATGTAATTACTGAGAGTGTCCATTTCCTTCTCAGAGGTGTCCCACCACTGTGGATAATTAACTATATGTTTACCTTACATATCAATATTCTCCCTGCTGCACCTTGGTCCTAAAACCTACCACATAAACCAAATAGCGATAGCTTTGAGTGATTAAGTGTATGTTCTGATCATCTTTTGTGGTTTTTTTTGTTGTTGTTGTTGTTTTTTTGAGACAGAGTCTCGCTTTGTTGCCTAGGCTAGAGTGAGCGCCGTGGCGTCAGCCTAGCTCACAGCAACCTCAAACTCCTGGGCTCAAGCAATCCTTCTGCCTCAGCCTCCCAAGTGGCTGGGACTACAGGCATGTGCCACCATGCCCGGCTAATTTTTTCTATATATATTAGTTGGCCAATTAATTTCTTTCTATTTATAAGTAGAGACGGGGTCTTGCTCAGGCTGGTTTTGAACTCCTGACCTCGAGCAATCCGCCCACCTGGGCCTCCCAGAGAGCTAGGATTACAGGTGTGAGCCACCGCACCCGGCCTATCTTTTGTGTTTTTGAAATACCCTCCTTGAAGTATATGAAAGACAGAGCCAATGATACATAATGAAGTTAGACTCGGCATATCTAAGCTCCAGCCCTCACTGTGCCATGACATTGTGTGAACTTAAACTATTGATTTACTGCTCTGTGCTTATTTTTCTCATCTATAAAATTAGGAGTTTGGACCAATAATCTGTAAGACCTCCTCACAATTCTAAAATGTATGAATCAGTGTTAGCTGAACACCAGCATTGCTGTCAGTAGATACATGAAAGGTATGGATTTTTTAAACAAAGAGGTAACTGAGGTGTATGTGAGAAGTGGTCATACTTGAGCAATGTGGAAAAGCTGAGGTTTTGTACTACCTGAATGGCACTACAGAAATTCAGATTTACATAATCTTCTTCTTTTTCTTCTGCAGTTTCTGTTTCTATTCTTGTTCTTCTCTCTTGCCTTTATTCTATGGCCTTGATGTCAAGGTGCCTCTTAAAGGTAAGATTCCTTTTAATTCCTCAAACTGTGGTTCTAAGAGGTATTTGATAAGAAGGATGCTGCATATAGATACTATGCTGTGTTTTTTAAAAACAGACATACTTGGTTTGGTTAGCCTAAATGCCATAAAATGAGAAAGAGAGACAATGCATTTGGGTGATTATTGGGTAAAGAATCTATAAAGTGTGCTGGGAACCAAGAATATTTTCCACTTAACTGTGTTATTTGGGGTAGTCACAATATTTGTGGACCTTAGTATTCTCATCATAATCTCCCATTACACAGAAAGAGTTGCTTCTATAAATGCAAAGTAAAGAAATATGACTTTATGTTTAAACTGGCCTTCAGCTTGAAAGTTCTGATTCTGTAATCTAACAAGCTAATAATGATTGCTATTTTCAACACTTTTCTCTAGTCTCTCTTCATCAGAACTCAGGAAAGCAGGCTGTTTAAGTGAAATTGAATCTTGTTTTCAAATAAGTGACTTTTCAATGTCAATTTGGGGAAAAAAAGGAGAGTCTTATTACTATTACCAAGTTCATGGCTCATGAATACATGCATAAATAATCCTATAGCCAGTGAGTCTCAATGCTTAAAAATGCAGATCACCAGGCCCCGCTCTAGACTTAATGGATCAGATCACTGGAAATGGAGATGAGATAGAGAGGGAGAGAGGGTAGGAGGATAGAGAGCAAGGACTGGTCTGCATTTAACTAGCATGCCAGGTGATTCTGATGTTCAGCCAGAGTATGGAAACCACAAACCTCAATACCACTGTTAAAAATAAAGAGGAGCTAGCTGCTATTCTAAATCCATTCATCATGGTCCAAGTCAATTTTCTTTTATCCTATTAAGTTATATTACATAGATATATTTCCTGGACCCCATTTTATTTAACATTTCCTATAGCAAGTTGCAAAGGAAGAGATACATATTTCCTTTGTGGGTATCAGCTCTATTACCTGGATGTGGAACAGACAAGTAAAAGTGCTTTAGCATGACCTGATATAAGGAAAGAGTTAAAGATATGCCCAGAAAGCTTATGTCCTCTTGTAACCAACTCTCTGGCTTTATTCCTTCTTCCAAAATCTTTTCTTCTCAGACTAGCAACTATCCATTATCTGGCAAGAAGGGTGACAACCAGGCAGCACACACTGAAGAGGACTGAATCTCTTAAATTGAATAAGAAATTATAATGAAATGAGATTCTCTAGTAAAGGATAAAAATGGCCAAATATCAGAAAACAAACAGACTTCACCCCCCCCCAAAAAAAAATACATAAGCAGGGTAAATAAAGTTCAGTAACAGTAATACATGTGGTTTAGGGAAGAAAAATCAAACATCATAAATACTAGCTAGAAAATGAGAAGATTTCAACATTAACATCAATAATGGCTGAAACTTATTATATGCCAGGAGCTGTTCGTACATTTAATCCTCGCAAAACCCCCCATGAGGCAGGTACTGCAATTATTCCTATTTTACATTTGGAGAAACTGCAGCATGTGACTTTCCCAAGACCATACGGCTACAATCGGCAGGGCTAGGATGTGTGTCCAGCCTCATTTCAGAGTCTACCTTAACTACCGTCCTGCCTCACAGACAAAAGAGGGCATTTCTCCCATATTTCGAGCAACATTGATGTCCGCAGGTATCAACAACCAGAGTCCTCTTCTACTATTTGTGTGGTATTACTTCAAAACTACTGGCTTTTGAAATTACAATGCGCTCATCTATATACCTTTTCCCATTTGGTGTAACTCCATGAGGGATATATGAGATTTGATTTATTTTTCCTCGAAAGCAGCACATAATTGACATTTAGTAATTGTCTATTAAATGAAAGACTATCATGATATTTTGAAGTAATACAGCAAGTTAATATGGTAATGAATCTGGGCAGTATAAAATATATACCAGAAAATGGCTGAGTAGTTTAGAACACACAACTTTGAAGTTAAATATACTCTTATGCTTGAATCCTGCCATTTACTAGCAGTGTAATGGTAGGCAATTTATTTAACCTACCTGAGGTTAGGTTTCCTATTCTATAAAATGGTTATAATTATGTTATTAAATATTTACAGTATGGTGTTGCATTGAGAGAATTTTAATGCATGTAAAAGATATCACATTGCCTAGAAATTTGTTAAATAATCAACAACTCTTAGCTATTATTATAAAAAGTTAGCTAACACATTTACTGAGTCTGAAAATATATAAATTCAAAATTATAACATCCTGTACTGCCAAGCAGTTTACAGCCTACATCCAAACAAGTTGTTGCTTTTTGATCTCCTCTTTCCAGGGAATAATCTGGATTTAAATAATATAAGGGAATACCACATTACCAAAAACGGATAAATGCTGCTTATGTCTATAAAGTAGACATGAGAGAGATAGGAATAAGTAAGGAAGAAAAGTTTCTGGCTTGTTGGCGGTAGTAAAAGCATGCTGCAAATAACTATAAAAAATTTTTCTATACTAAATTAATGATTTATATTCTGCTCATAAACCCAAGACTAACTTAAATTATACATAAAAGCACCCTCCTTAAAATGGAGTGACTCATACTTTTTCTTTTAGCAATTACCTGTCATTATTGTCAGTGATGAAACAGAAGCCACAAAAAGCTCCCTAGAAGGCACTCTTACTATGCTCAGTGCTTGATTACTAAATCACTCAGCTGCATGGATTATGTTGGGACTTTTACCTTAAACAAGGGATCCAGGTAGTTCCAGAAGATATCTGCCGTGCATTCTGTTTATTTCAAATAATAGCATACCACTATATTAGAGTTCTCCAGAGGGACAACCAATAGTATGGATGGATGGATAGATAGATGAGAGGGGATTTAATAGGGGAATTGGTTCTCATAATTACGGAGGCTAAGAAGTCCCACCGTAGACCATCTGTAAGCTGGAGAACCAGAGAAGCAGGTAGCGTGGCTCAGTTCAAGTCGGAAGGCTGAGAACCAACAAAACCAAAAGTGTAACTCTCAGTCCAACGCTGAAAGCTTGAGAGCCCCAGGAGGTCAGTGATGCAAGTTCCAGAGTCCAAAGGCCAAAGAATCTGGAGTTCTGATGTCTAATCAATTCATTCCACCCTCATGGCCTAATCACCTAATGAGGTAGAACCTCATTAGGCTCCACCTCCAACTGTTGCATTGGGGATTAAGTATCCAACATATGCTCTCTGCGGGACAGATTCAAGCCTTAACACACTAATTCTTCCACAAAAGACAATTACCCGAGGAGACAAAGGAAAGAAGAAAATGAGAGGAGTAGAAAAACAGCTATCACCAGGTTAGTTGTTATATCCAGGTTACAATGACCCATTGAAAATCCTCCTCTTCTGAGCAGGGATGGATTAAAGAAGAACATGAGAGCACCAGCTTTGTTCATTATGAAGTTGGGAAGACCAGAGAACAGGTGATCATGATTCTTTATCCACATACTCTGGTCTAGTTCATTTTTGATGATACTTCTCTAGTGTCAACTATTAATTCTTGAACTTGACAGCTCAATATTTTGACTTCCTGTCTAGTAACATAAAAAATGTTGAAAGGCACATAATACTGTATTATTGTTCTGATGCAGAAAAAAAAACTTAACAAAAATTAAAACTGTATAATAAAAACAGCCAGACTTGGTTGGTTATAAATTATCTGTTAAAATATGCAAATGTTTACTTTTTATTGCATTTATATTTTTTCGCCCCGTCCTTCCACCAATGCCTACAGGTAGCCTGGTGAAAACAAATGGCCACATGACCAATCTCTACTATAATTGTTGTCTAAAATAGGAGAATTTCACTCCTTATTGTTTTACATTGCTAAGGAAAGTCTATAAGATGAATCACTGTATGCCAGTTAATAATTCATTTCTTTATGTAAATTTATTCATTAGCCTTTATCCAATGGCATTAAAATTGTTTTCCTATCTGGCTCACAAATTGGGCTATTAATAAAGCATAGAGTAGGGCTTATGTTGTATTCGTCATACTATCTTCAATGTCTATAACAGTGTTTTATCTTTACTAGGTGCTGAATAAATTTTTAATTGACAGACTAAAGGGCAGATGGATGAATGAATAACAAGCTGGGCAGTTAAACATGAAAGGAGATTTGTGATGTGTTAGATTAGAGCCATGGCTAGCATAGTAATGTTATGCTATTAATGATATGCAAGATAACATATCTGATTTGCTCCTCCTATATCATTTAGAGACTAACTTAAAGCATGCATTAACAAAGGAAAGAGTACATAAAACAAATGCATTCTCCCCCTTGCCCATAGCTGGAACAGACTCCCAAATGGGTTCAGTACTTCTGCTACAGACAGTCTTAAAACCCATCCTCCACACAACAGTTAGAGTGAGTTGTTTAAAACCCAAATCTAATCTTTTCCCTATATTGGGAAAACATCACCATTGGGATCAAGTCCCAGTTCTTTAATGTGGCCAACAAAGCCCCATATGGTCTAAGCACAGACAGTCTCTCAGGCTTCCTGTTGCTCCAGTTTCCCTTGATGGGCCACACTGCCTCCTGCCTGCCACAGGGTTTGCCCAAGCCGTCTCGGTCATAGAACACTTCCCTCCCACTTCATCTAGTAAACACCTACTCACCCGTCCTTTAGCTCTCAGCTCAGTTGTGATTCCCTCAGCAAAGTCTTTCTCAATTTCCCTCCTGGACAAATTTTACATACATTTAGGTAAATGTACGTATATATATATTTTTAATTAGTGTTTCTCTTCCTCATTGTGTATAGGCTTCATGAGGGTAGGGATCATATATGTTTTGTTCACCCTTATATCCCAAATACCTACACAATACCTAGCACATGGCCAACAATCAATAAATACTTTTTGACTAATATAACAACTCTGCAAAATAGATACTATTATACCTCTCTTTCTCAGTCTGTTTGTGCTCCTATTACAAAAAACCTGAGACTAGGTAATTTATAACCAATAGACATTTACTTCTCACAGTTCTAGAGGCTGGGAAGCTCAAGATCAAGATCAAGTTCAAGATCAAGGCACTGGCAAGTTTGGTGTCTGCTTCCAAGATGGCGCCTTGCTGCTGCATCCTCTGGAGGGGTCAAACACTGTGTCCTCTAATGGCTAAAGGGATGGAAGGGCAAAAAAAGTCAAGCTATTAATAGTTCCATCCAGCCCTTTTATAAGGCATCAATCCCATCCGTTCTGCTCTCATGGCCTAATAACCTCCTAAAGGCCCCACCTCTTAAAACTGTTACATTGAGGATTAAGTTTTAACATGAATTTTTTTTAGAGGGGACACAAACATTCAAACCATAGTGCTCTCCAAATATTAATTTCCTAGTGCAAAAAAGTTAGGAAATAATAGCGCCCACCGTTTTTCTGATGATTGAGTGATATTATATAGATAAAGCAATTAGGACAGTACCTAGCACATAGAAAGGCTTGTTAAACTCCAAGTTCTAGGACATACCAAGAATTCTATCTTGAATCATGCCTTTCAAGATGTGCTTCCATCTAACAAGACCACGTTTCCCACACCACCACTGACTGGTTAATATCTATTCGTCCTTCCCACCTCCGTGGAAAATCAGGGAAGCCGCCTCAGAGCCTCTGATTTCAGTTAGGTTTCATTCAACATTATTATCTGCCTTCCCCATGAGGATTTTCATGGGACAATTACTTAGCAATTCTCAGTGTCAGTTTCCTCGTCTGTAAATGTAGGTAATAATGATAGCTACCATTTACTGAATACTCTATGATAAATTGCAAATGAGGATTGAAGGAGTGGAAGGTGTCAGAGATGGCCCTTTGGTTTCCAGATGGTATAACTGGTTGGATGGTTGGAGCCCTTACAGATACTAGAGTTACAAATCAGAAGCAACATCACTGTACTCGTTGACTTAGCGTTTGGAGGCATGGAGTAAAGTCTCAGAAATCGTAGCTACAATTGCTGTTTTACATAGGATGAAACTAAAGCTCAGCACTGTTTAAGCACCCTATGAAAAAGAACCTCTGTGTGCCATTGGATAACCCCTGTGCAGTTATTCAGAATGCCAATTTGAATAAATCTGGCCTTACTGCAGAAACAGTAGCTCCTTTTACAGGCACTCCTCAATTTATACAAATTTAACATTCTAAGGGACTGCCTATAAGTCCATTAATTTTTAAAACCAATATGCATTTACTCGACTGATGGGTTTTACCTCAGTTGATATAGGCAGAAGTGATGCATGCATGCTTTGATTCAGAAGATAGGATTTGATCTCTGATAGCATATAAAGTCAAAGTTTGCAATTAAAAGATTTCTTGTGTTTAGATTTATTTTATGTATACAGACGCACACACACAAATACATAGCCCTTGAAGAATCTTATAGATACATTCAGATCCACCACCAAGGAGTAGGAGAATATTATACTTATAACTAGTTGTTTGTGCTCTCAGCCAGGGTGGGATGTAAACATGAACTTGATCTCTTTTCTCAAATCACGGCTTTCACTCAGATTCTGTCTTATTTTCCTCTCTCACCCTTTAATTAAATCTTAGGTTGGTTCCCCAACTTTTTAGTCACTTTGAATGCTCAAAAGTCCTGCTCAGTTTAAAGATTCAATCTCAGGCTCTGTTAAATCTCATCTATTCACTTATTCTGTCTTAGGCATGAGCCAGTTATCCCCATGGAGGAGTTGTCCATGGTCTGGCTCTAGAAAACCTCTTCCCCCTCTTTCCCTCTTCAAGGCTTCAGCCTGTCTGGAGAACAGGGAGGAGGAAGAGGGAAAGGGATCCTGCCTCTCAACTCCACTGGCAGTGATGTGACTGTTTCTCTGGCTATTAATACCAACCGGCACTTGATGTCTGTCCTATAAGCTGGCCGTTCCAGGGGACATATGTGTGACTTCTTCAGAAGGCTGGGCAGAGTATGCCTACTGCCTGCGCTATTCCCCAATTGGCCAAGGCCCACCCTCTTCCACTGCCTCTCTGGCTTTCATCATTGCTGATACAACCCACAGCTTCTTGCTGAGTAGGTGCCTTTTGATGAAGTATGGGCAGGGAGACAACCAAACTACTACCCCTGTCTCTGCCCTGTCATCCCTCTTCAATTCTCTGCTCAGGTAGAAAAGGCAAGATAACCAAGTCTGTGTTTGAGCACTAGAAAGTAAATCTCCCTCGGTACACGCACAGCCAATCTCTTTATGCCTCTTGGCACCTTCCCCGCACTCCCTCGGTGCGCTCTCACCCCAACCACTCCCCTTCCTTCCCACAGGTCTGCCTCTGTGACTATGTCACTCTGTCACCCTAGTCTAACCTAGTCTTGGGAGCAAAATGGCTCTGTGAATAATGCATCCCAAATATATCTGACTGGCACTCACAGGAAGAATTTCTTTGAATCTTAATTTGCCTCTGTGTGGTAGACTGGAAGTATCTTCCAGGTACTGAGCGCCTTCCTTTCCTCCACTTTGGATTTCGGTCACCCTTTCTGAGATAATACTAAAGTCCTTTTACAGAATTAGTATCCTTATTTTACAGACAGATGAGGAAATCGAGGCTTAGAAAAGTTAAATAACTTGTCCTTGGACATATAGCAAGAAAATGAAAATCCCATTTTCTCTATCTATGTCATTCAGACTCTAAGACCATGTCCTTCAGCAGGACATGAAAGCACATCCTCCGTGCCAATTCCAGCTTTTATTGGAAGAGACAGTGTTATAACCTAGACTTCTATCCAAGTGAAAAAGCAGACATACGGACTTAAAAGAGTGTTCTTCTGTTCGAGCTAGAAGTCCTGACTGGGACAGCCCCAGGTTAGCACCTTTTCAGGGACATCTCTGGGCAAACCAGACACCTTTGTGGCAGAATTCCCAGGGAGTCCTCCAATCAAGACTTTAGGGTGGAGACAATGTGCCGATGGTTACAATTGTTGGGGAAGAAATGTGACATAAAAGTAAGTTATTGAAGGGCATGGGCAGACCTGTTTTTAATATAACACCTCAAATTGATAGTTTGGGACATGAGGACCCTTGAACTCCTTAAAGCATCACCTTGGAAGGCCCCAGAGGAAAAAAGCAATCATGATAATAACTAATATTTCAGGCCACTTACTATAAGACTAGAACTGCTAATTGTTTGGTATGCATTATGTTTCAACAACCCTTGAAATAGATACGTCTGTCTTCTCACTTAAAATTAAAATAACCAAGTTTAGAGATGTTATGTAACTTGCACAAGATCAGACAGCTCAAAGAGTTGGCAAAGAATAAAAAAATATATTTTTTCCTTAAAAAAAAGTTTGTTTTCTTATGATTCCATTATTAACAGAAATGATAATTAAAGAATTTTTTCCTCTGTTTTACAGAGTAACCGAAAACACGGATAAGACCCCAGAAATGCAAATGATTTTTAAACCTTCAAAGATGGCAAAATTGTTTACACCAGTGAGAGGGAGATCAAAAGCTAAGAACTACCCTGTAGCCAGGACTACAACTATGTATTTTAAAGCCATTATTCAAGGTTTCTTACTTGACAGTTCCTACATGACCCTGTTGAAAATCTACAATATATGCTGCATTTAATGAAACATGTATATGTCAAACCAGAAGAACAGAACTAACATATATTGTGTAAAGAAAAAAATTCAGCAATGGAACCAGTTTCAGCAGATCAAGCAAAGATGTGTCTTGGGCATGGAACCAAAGTTACAATGAAACATTCAACCCCTGCTGTGCAGGGGGGTCATTTTAATGTAACACCACACCCCATGGAAACACTAGTCCTGATAATAAACATCATTTTAAAAGATCAAAACAAAAAAACAAGGGTGGGTGGGGAATGAAGCACGAGGAATACCTATGAGGAGCTATTTACAATAAAATGTTTCATTTGAAAAGTCTGGTTTCTTACTACAGGGATTTGCTTTTCTGTCTTTATGATTATTTTAAACTCAGGAACAGAGACATCTGCAATGTGAATGGGAAGAAAAGCCCACTCCATTTTGTTTTTCTGCAAAAGGTGGAGCTTATGGAATTCACTCCACAATGACAGAAGAGAAGTGGATCACAGTGGCCCTAACTAAACTGGCAACCAAGTCAGAGGACCCGGGTGAATGTAACATACGAAATAAAAGCAGATTTGATGCTTCCTGTCCTTCTATCACATCTGCGTTCCTCCACCAATGGACTGATCTCATTCATGTTGAACATTAAGAAGACGATACTATAAATCACAAGCTCCCTGACTTAGTTCTGTTTAGAACATCTATAGGGAACATGGGCCAGAGAGCATCTCTGAATCTTCCAATTTCCAAAATACTGATTTTCAAGTGGCTGCTTAAAAATTGCTGCAAATGAATATGCTATATGATTTTGGTAAAAACAGAATAGAGGTGATAAGTAAACTTCTATCAACAGTCGGGTTTACCACAGAGATGTGAATAGTAAGCTAAATAATGATTATTTTTAAAAGCATCCTGATATGCCTAGAGCATTCTGACCTCTTGTTGTTTCGAGTAATAACATTCTTTCCCAGACAGCTGACAGCAACAAGATAGCTCTACTTTTTTATATAGAAATAACACTATGTTACCAATAAGGTCATTTTCTACCAGAGACAATTAGACGACTGGTACTTTTCCTAAGTTACGTCTTGGATTCAGCTCTGAGAGTAAATATATGTTCGTGGAAAGCTAATTTTACACCTCATTTACTGTAGATAACAAAACCACCTCAATTTTTCAAATTTTCAATGTTTTATTTATGGGGCTAGAATTCCCATGCATAGGGAATGTGTGTTAGGGAGCCAGAAACTCTTTCTATGAAATGCTACACAATCTTTCCATATGTGGGTTCAGAATCTTGTCCTTCGGTTTTAGCACTGGCAATTTTCAAAGCCAGAACAATAACTGAAGAAATGTACAAGAAAACTAGAACGCTGGGGTCCCACTTTCTGTTCTTAGATTTACTGCTGACCCAGGTATCTTTGGCCCAGTCACTTAACCTCTCTGTGCCTCAGTTTCCTCATCTGCAAAATGGGGTTAAATGCTTTTTCATGAAGTTTTATTTGCAATTTTGGAACAAGAGGTGCTTAAAATAGCACAAAGTGCTTTGTAATTGTTACAACTGCTGTATTATTTGACTTTCCTATGTTGGTGAGGAAAAGATTCCCCTGTGTAATAAAATAGTGCTTCAATTTGGTTAAATCTAAGCACTGCAGCACTGAAGCTTTCTCATCAACTTACCTAGGACATTATTAGCAATAAAGATTGGAGATCTATAGCCAGGATCTTTAATTATCTATAGCAAATAGATCATCTCATGCTATTGAATGAGATAGAAGTGTATGTCATTTCAATGATAAGCATCTCCTAGATTTTCTTGATTTCATATGCATGCCATCCTACCAAACACCACTTTTTATCACAGGAGAGCCAACCATGAAATGAAGGTTTGGAGTGAACTGGCTGTATCACATAATTAAACTGATTATCTCTTCCCTTTGGGAGGGTCAGCTGACATGTCCTACTGGAAAGATATGAAACAAACTGTCCTGCTGGATTCTTTGCTCAACTAGGTAGGTTTCAGATCAAATATGAATGGTAGGCTCATTGTGCAGGCAGTGTGAAAGAGGGTGCCTCTGGAGTGTCTGTGACCCAACCCTAGCAAACTTGAGTCAGAAAATATGAAACAGGATACATTGCTCTCCCATATCTCAGACTTTTCTCTTCAACTGCTCTTCACTTACCATTCCAGAGCCCAATCTGAGCAAACCCATACTCCATCTGCTTCAGCAAACATACCTTCCTTCATTTTGCTTTTCCCACCAAGAAACGTGTAGGTTAAAATTTATATCTGAGAACTGACTACTTCTAAATGATTAGAATATTTGCAAAAGTGGTATGGTTTAATCATATACCTTATTTGCTATAAATCATATTGTACTGTATGCACACAAAATCGTACGAGAGCAATAGCTAGGACAACCATCTAAGCAGCTTTAGATGTGTTTAAGGCAAAAGCAAAAGGAAGGATTTTTTTTTCTCTTTGAAGATCCAGGAGATTCATAAATTTTTCTGTATTGTAGGCTAAACTAATATTTCCACAAGTCTTCCTTGTGATCCTTAAAATTAACATATCATTGGATAAGTCTAAATATTTTGATAAACACATCTCTCTGTTTTCCATTTTCATAATTATAAAAACATTAGCAAAATTGTAGATGTATGGTCCAGTTTCTCATGGATCCGTGGAAATGGGCCGTATCCAAATGAATGCTTCCCTCAGAGAGGATGTTCAGCAATGCCAAAAAAAAAGTCTTGATAATGGGGGCGTCTCGTGTAGCTCCACTTCTTAAAAAGAGCAAATAATCCCCACTCTAGTTCTTAAATTCTCCATCTGAACTATCCTGACACATTTGGCCAGTGAGTTAGCAGTAATCAGAACAGCATTCTTCAGGGTTCATTTATTTAATTTTTCTTAATAAAGTATTCAGCCCTTGGAAAATAAACATAACTATTAAAGATAGTTTGAGATAAGTGAAAGCCCCAATTTACATAGTTATTCAGGACACAAAAATTTTCATGAGAAGGGAAAAAATGAACACACTATGTTTGACTACCATACTAAAAAGCATCTATCACTAAATTGGCTGTACAACTTGGGTTTTTGGGTTTTTTTTTTTTTTTTTGAGACAGAGTCTCACTTTGTTGCCCAGGCTAGAGTAGGTGCTGTGGCGTCAGCCTAGCTCACAGCAACCTCAAACTCCTGGGCTCAACCAATCCTTCTGCCTCAGCCTCCCGAGTGGCTGGGACTACAGGCATGCGCCACCGTGCCCAGCTAATTTTTTCTATATATACTAGTTGGCCAATTAATTTATTTCTATCTATAAGAGAGATGGGGTCTCGCTCTTGCTCCAGCTGGTTTCGAACTCCTGACCTCAAGCAATCCACCCACCTTGACCTCCCAGAGTGCTAGGATTACAGGCGTGAGCCATGGTGCCCGGCCTTATCCAACTTGTTTTAATGCCTCTCAACTTTTATTTTAGGAAATAAAAGAATCTGCTGGAAAAATTTAGGATTCCTTTTAACTTATGTCATATAAATTATATTATTGCCAACAGTTTAGGGGTAGAAGAATAGAGTTTGCTTTGATTATTTTTTCAATCCACAAATAACTGCCCATGCAGGTAGCCTGGGTCTTCCCAACTCTGTAAGAAAGAGACAACATGTAGGGCACGGGCCTTCACTGAAATAGAAAGGGAACATGTGTTCTCCTCTAGTAATAGAAGAACTTAAGTTTGCCAAATAATTTTTGCTGCAGTATTTTATTTCAACTTTGTTTTTAGTTTTAAATAAATCTCTGACAAACATGTTCTCTTTTGCCTATTTATTGCCTTTTTCTGTAAACCCATTGTATAATTCGTATGTTCACTGTCTTCAATGTAATTCTTAAGTTTATTGTTTTAAAATGAAGCACATCTTTTTAACCTGCCTAGGCTTTCATGGAAACTGTAAAAAGAATGTTCGTTGGTTTTGTGCTGATGTTTAAATAATTGGATCATCTGTGTTGTTACATCAAAATAGATGAATAGTATAGGCATTTTATTTTTAAAATATTTAATTTAATTCTTTCAATCTGTCAACAAGTGGCACAGAACACACACACACACACAGGACAGAATAAGAATTTGCTGTGTAGTTTAGGGGTTGCATTGCTTGTTGCTCTTTGTGAAATTTTTATAACAAAGTTCCGATAATCATGGCTTTTAGCAGCTTAACTCTCACACTTTAGTAATTCAGATTTATCTACTATATTTAAAAAGTTCAATACAGCTTTCAAAAGATAAGTAATCAAAACAAATCTTAGATGACTTTATGTCATGAGTTAATGCTTTCAGGATGAACCCAAGCCCTTCTTTAAGTGGACTTCTAGGTCTTAAGGCAGGAAAGCTGTCATGTCATTTCTGTATAACATACTGTCTTGAGACTGAATTATATGCATATTGGCAAGCGGATTCAGACATAATGGAGGGTTGGAGTTAATCCTTGTAAGGTTTCTTCAAATGTTAAATTCTATGATTTCGTTTCAGAACTGGGCAGGGCAGACTGACATTCCTTTACTGTCTTTCATTTGGCAGTTTAGTTCTTCCTAAATAAATCTTCTATTGTTGAGAGTCCAAGTCCAATGTTTAACCAGAATTACTACAGATATACTTAAAGGGGCGATGTAGCAAAAATAAGATTACAATTTGCCATATTCAACCTGCTGTCTCAAACTCAGAGGTACAGGTGGTGGATGTGGTGAGGTTTCCTTTTCTGTTTTTGGTTTCTTCTGCATTGAGGTCTTTGTACCCATGCTTATATCTCTATCCTTGTTACTGCAAACTTCTACAGGGTGGGAGTGGTGTCCAATTGAGCCCAATTTTGCCTACAATCAGGACCCCACAGACTA